AATTTGGGAAATGGTATGAAACCAACGATTTTGATTGCCTATCGGTAATCACCCTCTCCTCTGTTTATTAAGGAATCAAATAAGACGATAAGTGTAGGTACTCGATTAATCAATCTCTTCTTTTTTTTCGAATTGATGATGAGAAATTAAACAAGTGAGTGAGTCTGTGAGAGGTTCTGTGTGTGAGAAGTCTAAGCTAAATGATGTACGAGTATAATAAATGCATTCTTACACGGATAATTTATTGCCTTTTGTAATTTTTTTAAACATTTTTTGGTTTTTATTTCGTTTAGTGGAATTCGGGTGTCAGGAAAAGCACGGGAAAATGGATTTATCGGTTATTAATTATTTATATTGATTGATTGTTTTTAATTGAGGTATGGAGTTTGGGGGTGAGGATTGGGTGGATCGAGTGGACTTGGGGCATTCCGTCAGGGACATCTTCCCCCAGGTTTTTCTCGAGGGTGAGAGATTTTGTGGAGTGGAAAATATTTTGTTGTTAAAAAGAGCGGATTTTTTGGATCTGGAGAAGAGAAAAATTGTGAGACCGAGGGGAAAAGGGGGTGGGAGGGTGGAGGAGGTGGAGGAGGTGAAGTGGGAGGGTGGAGGGATTGAGAGGGAGGGGGATTCGAGTTTCGAGGGGTTGAGAAAAATTTTGAGAGCAGACCCAGTGGAAATCGAGTTTCACAATTTTGAAATTGGAAAAATTGTCAAAGTGAGTCAATTTATTTTATTTATTTCTCAATTGTTATTAATTTATTCATCAATTTATGGACTTGATTGTTTAATAATTCGAGAGAATTATTATGATTAAAAATGTGAGCGACGAAACGATCGCGAGGTACCAATTGGCGAAAAGATTTGACGCCTCGAAATTGCGATTTATTTGGGGAACACGAAGTGGAGATCGTGAGGACCTGGCCCCGGGGATGAGCACAGCCCTGACATTCGTCTTCAAAAGTAGAAGTCCTGAGGATTACGAGGAGAGGATAGTAATTAATGTTGAAGGGGGATTTCCAGTAATTATCGATGTCTCGGCACACAGGGATCCTCCGATATTGATAGGTGAAAATTCAACGATTATCTCGGGAACGAGCTGTCCTAGGTGAAAAAGTGATAAACAAAATCTCCGGGGAATTTCCCGATCCCCAAAAAAGGTGGAATTAATTTTTCTCCCAGAACCCCGCATTCCCGAGATAATCCCACAAAATTGAAACTCGAAATAAAGCATTTCGATAATTTCTCAATAACTTCGAAATAACTTTCGACTTCCCGTCGGGAATATCTCCCGAACGACGAGATTTATTCAAATTAGTCAAAAGATCATGTACGCGAAGAATTTTCTCCTCTCAAAAAAACTCCTCTATCATTTCCCTCTAGGTATCCCCATTCGCGAGATACGTGCATATAACAAAAGTTCGGTTTCGTTACTTTGGAGTGGAGATGTAACGAGCTCGAAAAATTCATCTTCTGACGCCTCGACAACTCCAGGTGATGATCTCCAGCAGATTCTGAGCCCCTGGAGGGGATCGCCGACGTCCTTATCAAACGAGATGGAACTGGACTGCAAGAATAGTCTAGTTGGTGACGAGAAGCTCGTGGAAACACAACTGACGAATTTCGGATCGTCCGGGAGATTTTTCCTCATCTCCGAGGCAAACTGGCACTGCAGGGACATCACAGTACAGAAACGACTCAATCACCAGTAATAAATAATTAACAATAATTATCGATCCCCAGGACCTGACAGACACCTGCAAGCTGCTGACCCCCAGCTTCAGCCTCTGGCCTGCGTATTTTCACCTGGAGAATAATCAGTCGTTGATCCTAAAAACTCTCTTCACTCCGGGACACCCTGGCCTCCACGTGGAGAAAATTTTCATCGTCTGCGACAACATCTCCGTCGAGTCCTTCGAACTCCTAGGGGACGGCGTCATGTTCCACTGGGATTTCCTCCACTTCAGTGAAAACCTCAGGAGACAATCACTTCCAGAACTCGAGGACAACAGATTCTCCAATTTCTTCACAGCACAGCTCCACCCTGAGAGCCTCTCTGTTCTCGTCGCCGTCTCGAATTTATCAGAATTCGATCTCAATTTTCGGTGGGATGTCATCAATGATATCTGCCTCGGGGTTCTACCAGAGAGTGGAATTCTTCCAGGAAATTCCACTCTGACTTTCGACGTCTTCTCCAGGAATTATGACTTGTGCTCGGAATTCGTCGAGAGTAATTTACAGCTCGTCCTCGAGGACTTGCCTCCGCAGGCGATTCCTCGGGAGTACCAGGAATTCGTTGAGGCGTCCAGGAGGAAGTGGAGATTTCCAGACGTGAGTTTTTATTCCTCCAGGGAATTATTTCAACGGGGAATTCATTCTCAGCTTTATTTCCAGGCTGTGGAGATATGTGTCGCCAACGTGGGGGTTCGCCTCCCCTCCAGGACTCACTCCATCATCTCCGAGGAGATTTCCTCAGGAAATCGTGACGAAGAAAATTTTTATTCGGATTCTATCGAAAATTGAAACTGAAATTTGGAAAATCGCTTCTAAAATTCAGAATTCCTGAAAAATTCTCCAGGATGTCTCCTGGAATTATTTACCCTAGAGAAATCCACCAGAATTTATCTCGCACCAAAAATTTATTCTCTCACAAAATATTCTGCGAATAATTTACAAAGATCAATAAAAAAATCATACAAAACACTTCCTGGAGCTTCTCCAGGGAGTGGGAAGAACCTGGGGCCCTTGAATTACTAATCATGCAGCTTCTGGAATTCTTTCAGAGCCTCAGGGTCCTTCGTATAAAATTTATACCTCTTCTCCACAAGAAACCTCATGAAGTGATTATAAAGAGACTTTCCAGAGCGTCCCCTCAACCTCGAGAGCCCGAGCTCCTCGACGTGCCTCCAGTAATCCAGGTTAACAGCACTCTGAATACTCCCCTCCCTGATGAGGATCTCGATCATCGCCCTGTTCTCATCATCAGTGTACCTCTTCCTGTAGAAATAATCACCGCCCCCACGTCCTCCAGATCGATTCCCCACATTCCTGTTGTTCTCATTCGAGACATCTCCAAGGACAATTTCTCCCTGGACCCCACCCCTGGGTCTGGGCGTGAACTCATCGACGTCATCCTCGTCATCACTCTCCACCACGTGAAATTCTCTCCCAGGGTCATCCAGGATTGACATCCCTTCACAGAATTTGTTTCGAGCTACAGTGGAAGCTCCAGGGGAAGCCGTGGGCTCCAGGACTTCCTCTTGCTCCGGAATTTTTCTCGGGGACTCTTCTAGGGCTTTAGAAATCAATTCATCGAGGGACGACTCGCCCTCGGATCCTCCAGAAGTTCCTGGGGGAGACAGGCACAACTCCAGGGCTTTGTCGATTAATTCCTCGCTGGAATGACTCTCGTCGTCATGAGTTATCAATTGATGATTCATCCCTCGATCTAGTATTTTCGTTTTTCTGGGGATCTCTGGACTTCCTGGGGACTGACCTTCGGTTTTAGGAACGATCCCCCAAATTTCTGATTGATCCATCATTTCTCTCAGGACTCGAGTCAATATCATATGTTCTCCAGTGCTCCCAGACTCCGGAGACTGACTCTCGATCTTTGGAAGCCGTGAACTAGTTCCTGATGTTCCTGACACATCCGACAGCTGAGAAATCCCTGAGACCGAGGGTTGATTCATAATTTCCCGCATGATTTCGTCTATCCCTGGGCGTGGGCTCTCATGCTTCACCCTGGAGAAGCTATCCCCTGGGGAGTCTTTCAGGGCTCTCATGATTTCCTCACGGTCCGGCGTACTCCCAGTGTAAGGAACACTCCAGCTGCACTGGCTATCATCAATTTCTTCCTTTATCCCCTTCATCTCCACTTTCGCGTCTGACCCGTCCATTAAAAATCTCCGGGGTGTCTTCCTCCTGGAGTCACTCCCATCATCTCCTGGAAATTCTCTCTTGATCGTCTCCTCCTGGAACATCTCGAGTCTTTCGTTCCCATTCCTGATTAATTAAATTAATAATCACCTCCAGGTGGTGGAGCACCTCTTCCTCTGGAAATAACTGGAATCAATGGATATTGATCACTTTCTCTGGCTTCCCTCTAGAACTGCGTTACTGACAGAGCAGAACAGCTGCCTGACGCCATCTTTGGTGCATCAGGATGTCGACGAGGTGGTGATGGTGGGGCGTAGCCTTCCATCCGAGACTACAAAAAAAGGTAATCATAATGACGGCCTCCCAGAGCCCAACACAAGTCGACAGTCCGCAGTGCTCCAGTTGGGACTCATCTCCACGAAGTGACGAGGTGAAATAATAAAAACAACACCTAGACCCCAGTGGAGATTCCAGTGAAGTGTGATATCGAATACCTGGAGGATGTCAGGATCCTGTGATAAATGTGACTGTGGTGATGACGACTGAGGTTGGTCAGTGATCAGGGCCATCTAGAAATTATTTGACATCCCCTTTTTCTACCCCACATCATCCCCTGGGCATTGCTATTGTCTGGCATGTGGGTGGTGTAGAAAGTGGGGGCATCCGGGAGCACCAGGTGGATATCGCGGTTTGGGGATGTGGGGGAGGGCCTAGGGACATCGACACCGGGGCCTCCTCTTGTCCTGGAGTTTTTACAACGGGTCGACGACTCCTGGAGGAATCATGGCCGACCTCGAGGCTGTTCTCGCTGATGTCAGCTATCTCATGGCTATGGAGAAGAGCAAGTGCACACCTGCTGCTAGGGCTAGCAAGAAAATTATTTTGCCTGATCCTAGGTGAGATTTATTTATTTTGGTATTAATTTTGTTATTAATATTTTTTTTTTATTGGATTTATTAGAATTTTGGAAAATGGATTTCAATTTTTTCAGATGAAATCACACGATTTTTTTATTCAATGATTTTTCAGTTAATTTGTTTATTTTATTTATATTGTTTATGTTTGTGGGAATTATTGTTTTGGATAAAATAAAATTTATTTACTTTTAGAATTAAAAAAATGTCCTCAACCGGAAAAGGTCATTCTATTGTTTACAAACATGATTGGCCCCTCGTGTCACTAAATCAATCGACTCCCTCCAATCGAATGAATTCGATTACCTGGTGATACAACAGCTGATAATAAATACGTCAACGTCCGATACAAATATCCGCCCCAAACGATTACGGGAAAAAGGGGATGACGAGAATGTCCCCCACGTCGTAAGGGAAACAGCCAATTTTCCTGGCTCCGACGAAGGGCACGAGATCGATTTAAAAAATAATGGGAATTCCTCCAATTATCGAATATCCACCGAGAAACATCAACTATTTATTTAACAACTGGTGGTTTTACGGAAAAATGACAAAGGAATTTTCTCTGGGAAATTTCATCAGCTAGGAAAAAGTCATTTGAAGTTTTTCCCAAAAATCGATATTTATCGATATTTATCGAGATATGCGTATCGTAGGATTTTCATTTATTTTTGAAAGTTGATTAACTCTTTGTTTATTTAAAAAACTGGTGGTTTTAGGGGAAAATGACAGAGGAATTTTCTCTAGGAAATTTAATCAGCCAGAAAAAAGTTCTTTTAGCTTTTTCTCATAAATCGATATTTTCCGAGATAAATCGTAAATCGAGATAACACCCATAAAATCCCGCGTATAAAAAATGATGTATCCATTTTCCCCACTTGTTCAGATTAATTTTCGCTAGTAGGAATTGAATTTTCCAAAGACCCAGCGCTTGGAAAATTGTGGAATTTTTCGACTACTCGAAAAAGGGAAATTTTCGGAAAATCCTTAGGTGTTCCATAAATGGTGGTTCACCCACTGAAGGAACGCAGGCGCGGAGAGGTCATTGCTGATAAAACCGACAACCTGATTTTTCATTTCACGTCGAATGTCCCCTGACCCATTTACCCTTTTTGTTTATATTTTAAAATGAACAATTGATCCCTTGAAAAACCGAATGGTGTCCTTGGAGATGGTCTTTAGAATCTCAGAATAGGAGCTCTTGTTTCCTGGGGGAGAATCACATGGGACCAGTGCCAAAACGTTTAATCTCATTTTAATAAGCCTCTCTCTATGCACGATAGCACCTTTTCTGCATCATCTCCTGCTTTATCCTCTGCCCTTGGTCCTCAAATATTCATCAGGTTGGGGTAAAGATGGATTTCTTCTTGCACCCCGTTTATCTGGGTAACCAGGGGATGGAGAGTAAAATGGTACTGGAACTTTTTGTGGAAAATTTTGGAATCTTTCAAAAAGGACTTTTACGTTTTTTTCGAGAAATCAGTCCTTTAGGAGATAATTAAAATTTCATTAATTATTTTTGTCTTAAAAATTCGGGGCAATTAGTAACCCAAAATTTAATTGCTGGATTATCTCCGTAATGATTGGGCTGACGATAAAAAGTCGGAAGATCTTTTATGAGGGGAATCTCGTGGTCTTCAAAAAAGGGCCCTATCATTTTTTTGTGGGACCAACCATTTCGGCCATCCTCGAAGTTTCGTTATTTTCAATATTCCTAATTAATCTTTCTAATAACTCAATTATCTCCCAAACAATAAATCTCAGACGAAAAAGTTCTTATCATTTTCTCTAGACAATTTCCCGATCTCCAAAAAATTCAAATACCATTTTCCCCTAGGTTCCCGGGATCCCGAGATAAATTCGATTGAGCGAAGTTGCTTTCCTAAAAATCCCATTTGACGTCAGAAATTTAAAGTGAAAAACTCAACATTGAAAAATACTTGAGGAAGAAAAATCCCAGCACTCGAGGGGAAATATTTCCTTTGTAGGTACTTCAAACGGATACACAGATAAACGCAAGATGGAATTAGAGGGAGACAGATACAAAGATGAATCGATAGTCCTCGGGGTTATTGCTCGCTGCGGTTTACCTCTTTACGATACCCCAATCCCACCCTCAGTATTTACACGTTTATTCATGCAATCTGTGCAGGTGGGTGGAATGGGGGTGGTTCATTCAGCAATTGGATTTCCATTTTTTCCCATTTTTTTCCGCCTTTTCTCCCTTTTTTCCCCTTTTTTCCCTTTTTTTCCCTTTTCCCTTTTTTTTCCTGTCTTTTCATTAATTTTATTACGGGATAAACGGGCGGGGGGGGAGGGGGTTATTTAGGAATTGAATTTCAATTTCAGTTCAATTAATTATTAATATTGGAGAAGGCTAATTAATTCCAGTCCTAATGAACATCGAATTATTCATCGAATTATTCAAGTGGAATTGATAATTTTTGAGGTATTGTTGTTGTATCTCGGGAACGGTCGATTTGAGGGGAAAACGTTGGACGAGTTTTTTGTAGGTCATTCAATTTGCAAGGTATAATTTTTTTTCACTTTTTTTTGTAAAATTCATATTTTTGGTTTTATCGAATTTAATTAAATTGTCGAATTGGTGATAATTGAAATTTTTTTTTTTGAAAAGTTTAGTTGAACTTTAGTTAATGGAAAAATGGTGAGGTTTATGAAAAAAATCGAAAAGAGCTTTTCTGTGGGAAATTCGATTAGCTACAAAAAAATCTCCCGACATTTTCTTGTGAAATCATAAATTCTCAAGATAAGTGGATAATAACGAAAAAAGTTGAGTTCCACTCATTGAAATTCTCCACAGAAAATCAAATCGATTGTTCGTGGAACTCGATTGGCATTTCGATTAAATGAATATTCCATTCGGTGGGAGCTGCACTATTCAAACTGTAATTTCGAATAGCAATTCACTTATTCAATATGATTTTCCGAGGGAAGGGCCAACAGCATTTTCCTAGATTTCCATCGAATCGAAGTTTACCTAATCGATTTATTTATCATTCCTCTGAATATACCGGAGTGAATCGACTGGGGGAATAGGAAAGTGTTTTCATTAGAGAGCGAGGGCAATTTCCGATTTCAAATGATGCCCTCAGAGGCCATTTATCTCCTCAGCTTCTCGACATATCGAATTTTTTCGATTCTCTGATTATAGAAAACAGAAAATCTCCACAATCTCGGAATCTGTTCGAGTTAGCTCGATTTTCATTATGACCTTTTCCACAGAGCGGAATCAGACCTACAAAAAAGGTCCAATAAGAATTCCGGTATCTCCCTCAGATGCGGAGATATTATCAATTTTCAATTATCAATTCATTATAAAATCCCTTCACTCAATTCCGCAGCTCCAGCTCATTATCAATACACCTCGCAAGCTATCGATTTCCGAGGAAAATCGTGTGGACATTTTTTCCAGCTCACGAAATTTCCCACAAAAAAGCATTTCACCAATTTTTTCCTAAACCCCATATTTTCCCCCGAAAACCGCGAAAACCGGTCAAGTTCGAGGCGCTCGACAGGTCCAAAAATACCGAAAATCCCCAAAAAATCGAACAAAAATAGAGAAAAAAAAATGGAAAAAAAGGGGGAAACCATCAATAAACACTTGGACATGTATTCCAAACAATTCCGTCTTCTCCTGGCGTAAAAAAATAATGAGATAATGGTGGAGCGTGGAAAAAGCTCTGGGAAAACGAAACGCTGATGGAGCTTTTGCCCTATTAATAGTCTGTTATATTACATATTGGAGGAATAGGATAATTCGCTCTTCGTCTGGCTTTTATCCCAGGTCTAGCGTAATGAAGAATGGGCTTATCATCGACAGGCCTTCAAAGCCAACACCTTCCGGTTGAATTGACGTTTTACGCGTCCTTGATGCAAGAATGTGACAATTTTTTTTTCTATGGGCCTCTGTCTCTCATTTTTTTCCCATTGTTCGCTATTCTCCATGCACTTTAACTATTATTAATCTTTTTTATAATAATCAACGACTGAAGTATCTGTGATTATTATTCAATCGATTAACACTCAGGGTTTTCAGGTTTACTGGAATGATCATTTCGCTCGACACTTTTTTATCCATCAGTTTTTAGGTCATATCTCGAAAATGGGGGGGGATGACGATTTTTTCAGTGATACCTTTTTTGGAGGTCTTGTTATTTGCAGGAAAAAAGGTTTGGAGTGAAAATTTGATATGTTCCTTCTATCACGAGATATTGCGTAAAAATGGCCTGAGAAAAAAATTGATTGTCCTAGTTTAACATTTTGTTTAGTCGCTCTTTCGGGAATTTCTCGGAATCTATGGGAAATCGCGGATTCTTGATTACCACATTTTTTTTAAACCAGGGGAAGAGCTACAAAAAATGTTCTATTCATAATTTCGATATCTCCATCAGATCCCGAAATATTCACGATTCTGGGATTGTTCAAAACGGCGAAAATCATTTTTGCCCTTTTTCAACTCTTCTCAGACATTTTTCTCATCATGTGGTTCCCCCCGGGTGCGATAATTTTTCAAGTCTCGTGTTTTTAGAACAAGGAAATATAGGATTATTATCAGGTATTGATTAGGGCTTTTTAGGCGAGTGAATTGCGCCCTTGGGGGTCGTAATTTGTGCTCCATAATTGATGTATGGTTTAATGCCCGATTAAGTGGGTGTACCAGGGGATTCAGAGAAAATGTTGTTGGAAGTTTTCTCTTGATAATTTTGTTGTCTACAAAAAATATCATGTCAATTTTTTCTCTAAAATCAGCGGTTAACGAGATATTTGCGGATATGTGGGGAGTTAAACCCATTGAAATCGAGTTAAAAGACGAGTTTGTCCTTATCGAGGTGCGTCGTCGTGACGTCAATCTCTCGCAGTTTATCAGACGTTTCTGTTTTCAAATGGAACGGTTTAATTCTGTTTATGATGAGTGCGAGAATTCAATTCACCATTTAATTCTGTATATTTTATGTTGCAGCGTGAGGAGCGTCATGCACAAGTATCTCGAGAAGAAGAACGAAGTTAACTTTGATAAAATATTTAATCAAGTGCTAGGGTATCTACTGTTCAAAGACTTTTGTGAGACTGTAGCGGAGGAACCCATTCCGCAACTTAGGTTTTACGAAGAGGTGAAATATAATTGCATCATTGAATCATTCTGAATAAATTAAATAAATTCCCACCAAATAATCTCGGAAAATCGGCGAAAATCTCTCCATCCGCTGGAGATAGCTCAATTTTTGTAATGACCTTTTTCACAGAGCGAAATCAGAGCTACAAAAAAGGTCCAATGAAAATTTCGCTATCTCCCCTAGATCCCGAGTTATGAGCGAATTATTACCCTGCCTTAGCAACTAGTTAAGATATCATCGTAAACAATGAATAATTGTTATTAATAATTCAGATAAAATCGTACGAGAAACTCGAGTGCCCCGACGAGAGGCGAAAATTGGCACGCGAGATATACGACAACTACATAATGAAGGAACTGCTGGCGCATTCGCACGTAAATATTTCATTACCCTTAAATTTCACCCACTCAAGTCGAATGACTCGTACCTTTTGATAATTATTTTTTATTATCATTAGGAATATTCAAGTGAAGCTGTAGCTCACGTACACAAATACCTCATGAAGAACGAGGTGCCAGTGAATTTATTCGAAGTGAGTCCTATAATTCAATTACTAATTACAATTTATAATTAATCATTGATTATATTTCATCGCAGCCCTACATCGAAGAGATTTTCAATCACCTCAGGGGCGAAACCTTCAGAAAATTTCTCGAGAGGTGAATACTATATTAATTAACTATTTAATTATACGAGTGAAAAATCCACTCCCTCCCCTCTCGACTTGACGTTTAATTACGGAAATAATTAGTTGACGTCTGGGGAATATCAACGCCCTTTGATAAAACTAGGAATTTCAATTATCATTTCAATTTTCCACTGATAATAATTATTTCACATCAACAATTATTTTTTATCATCGATTATTTCATTGACAAGACAATTTTATTTTTAGGATTATCATTTCTAAATTCCAGGCGATAAATAAATTGTTCCTTAACTACTCTAATTATTATTGATTACGGTGAATGCCCTATCATTAATCTTTTCGTCATTTTGTCATCGCGATTTCAATCTCAGAACCTGTCACTGATATTTCGATTGTTAATTGCATTAATTGTTCCTGATTTTTTACATAATCTGTTCAGTCAATAGATACACGACGGACAAATGAATTTGTCAGTTAAAAATAACTAGAATCGAAGGTTTGGCTTGCCTCCGGGTCTGTCCCAATCCTGTCATCACGAGTGTCAACATTAGCTCTTAATAATTATTTAATTAATTACTATCCAAAAATCATTTTGAAATAAAAACTCCCTCGGGGTCTTAATTCCGTAATAAATTAATCCCTGGAGACGATTTAACGGACTCCGAAGACCTGGATCGCCCATTAATTAATTTTCATTAAATAATATTGTTTATCCTTTCCCCAGTGACAAATACACCCGCTTCTGCCAATGGAAGAACCTGGAGTTGAATATTCAGGTGAGTATTCCCTGGCCGTCCTCCCCAAAATCAATAACTAACAATCACTGATTTTTAGTTAACAATGAACGACTTCAGCGTTCACCGAATAATCGGTCGGGGTGGTTTCGGGGAGGTGTACGGCTGTCGAAAAGCGGATACTGGAAAAATGTACGCGATGAAATGCCTAGACAAAAAGCGAATAAAGATGAAGCAAGGTGAGACCCTGGCCTTAAACGAGAGAATAATGCTCTCCCTAGTCAGCACCGGGGTGGACTGTCCGTTCATCGTGTGCATGACGTACGCCTTCCACACACCCGACAAATTGTGCTTCATCCTTGATCTGATGAACGGTGGAGATCTCCACTATCATTTGAGCCAGCATGGTGTATTCAATGAGCCAGAGATGAAATTTTACGCAGCTGAAGTGATTCTTGGTCTTGATCACATGCACAGGCGTTACATCGTCTACAGAGATCTCAAGCCAGCGAATATATTGCTGGATGAGCATGGACACGTCAGGATATCAGATCTGGGGCTTGCCTGTGACTTCTCCAAGAAGAAGCCACACGCCAGTGTTGGTACCCACGGTTACATGGCACCTGAGGTGCTCTCCAAGGGTACAGCGTACGATTCCAGTGCTGATTGGTTTTCATTTGGATGTATGCTTTATAAATTATTGAAGGGGCACAGCCCATTCAGGCAGCACAAGACCAAGGACAAGCACGAAATCGACAGGATGACGTTAACGATGAATGTCGAACTCCCTGAGTCGTTCTCCAGGTGATAATCAATCCTCGAATGACAAATTAGGAATAAATTATGGAGACAGGGAATTATTTTAATGATTATTTATTGCAGGGAACTTAGATCTCTTCTGGAGGGCCTTCTCCAGCGTGACATCACCACCAGATTGGGCTGCCGGGGTAGAGGTGCTGATGAACTGAAGGAGCATCCGTTCTTCGGTGGCATCGACTGGCAACAGGTGTATCTACAGAAATATACACCACCATTTGTACCACCCAGGGGTGAGGTAAATGCTGCTGATGCTTTTGATATTGGATCATTCGATGAAGAGGACACCAAGGGAATCAAGCTCACTGATGCTGATCAGGATCTCTACAAGAATTTTCCACTTGTCATTTCTGAGAGGTGGCAGTCGGAGGTATCGGAGACTGTCTTTGAGACGATTAATAATGAAGCGGATAAGGTGGAGAACAAGAGGAAGGCGAAGCAGAAGCTCAGGTTTGATGCTGATGAGAAGGGATCTGATTGTATTCTTCATGGGTACATTAAAAAACTTGGGGGACCTTTTGCCAGTGCTTGGCAGACGAGGTACGCTAAATTGTATCCTAACAGACTCGAGCTGCATCCGGAATCCACTACTAAACCGGAACTCGTTTTTTTGGATCAGGTAATTAATGTGGTAATTAATTAATTTAATCATTTAATTAATGGGGATTGACAAGACATCCATAAAAACATCGATAGCTTCTTTCAATTCCTAGGCGTTGGGTGACGAATGGGTGGATGGGTGGATGGGTGGGTGGTACGAAATAATTATCAGGTGAACGTCTGTTTCAGGTGGAAGAGGTCTCCCCTGATTTGCAGAATGTCAAGGGGGAGCAGTGCATCGTGGTGAGGACGAGGGAGGCAAAAATAGTACTTACTAATCCGGTGAGTGATTCATAATTACTCCTTTCACCCTGGGAAGCCAGTGAATTTGAAAATCAATAGATTTTTTTCTTCAGGATGAAATAAGTCTGAAGGAATGGGCTCTCTCATTGCGATCGGCGTACAAAAATTCGATGGAGATGCTGGGAAATATGGCGAGAAAAGCTGGAAAAATCTACGGTACCGAGCGCGACGCTGTGATACCACCGATTCAACGATCTGCTAATGGTAATTAGCGTAATTAATCTCAGCGATAAATGAGGAGAGAGTATTTAAATGATAAAATCACACGTTCGTACTCCAGTCCCACTGCCCCGCAGCAGCGACACCAGCAGAATAATTTTTTTATACCAAAAGGAATAATTCAAGAAAAATTACACGAACAAATTACTGAACAACTCATAATTATTCATTCTAAACCCGTAATTACAGGTTGGACACACCCACATGCGATGGAAAATAATAATTCATATATTTCCTTATGATCGTATGGCGAATAGCGTCAATGCTGCGTAGAGTACGTAGAAAAAATAATTAGTTGTGAATTGACGAAATGACCAGTCGATTTTTCTTCGGAATATCTGCAAAAAACATTTTCAATTATCGATTGTCTTTCGAGCGCTCTCTAGATTTTATCGATTATCTATTATTTAATGTTTAATTTATAAAATTTTTATCTCAATGGGAGAATGAAAAAATAATGGACAGCATTCGAAAGATCGAACGACTGAATAAATCGATGAAATTCCCAGTTAATTTGGAATTTAAAAAATTTATGGGATTTATAAACAAAAGAGGTGAATATCGAGATTGAAAAATATCTGGGTAATTAAATAAAATTTTCATTGATTGGATGTTGAGGGAGTCTTTTGGGAAATTCGCAACTGAAATAAGTGCTTCGTAAAAACTAGGAGGTGAAAATCCTCTCCGGATGCATAGCGTCGAGCCCATGATTTAAAATGCAATATATTTGTACGTTTAATGAATTATATCGTGCAGTGGTGGAACGTAGAATTTAGAGAAATGAAAATAATGATGGATAACTGAGTGGCTCGCGTTAACTCAAGGACTGAAATATTTAAGACAAAAACATAATAAAGTCCGAAAGAACACAACAATTAGTGAAATGCGTGTGAACAGACATTAAAAACTCAAATAAAACATATGTAGATTATTATTAACAATAAGTATGTGTATTCTGATGAATTATTATGCATTCATGAAGTGTTAGATGGATACGGTGCGAGTGAAAATAATTAGTGAGAGATTAATTGTGCGAATGAGTGAATGATTATTATCACAGGACCACCCTCTCCCACACTTGATTGATCTAATCATTAATTAACACTGACACTGTAGTTGGGGGAGATAAGGAGTTGATTTTCACCTGTTTATCTTAATAATGAGATTATGTAAGTAATTATTTTTTTATGAAATATTTTATTGTACATGACAGTGGGCCATGTTTTATCGACTACCTGACGACGAATTTAATACGATTTTTTAATGGATAAAATTATTGTTTCGTTAGTATAGTTTATTCGTCTGGGAAGAGGCAAAATTATTGTTATTATTTTATCTCATGAGCGTTGAATTCTGTCAATAACTAGATTTAAGGGCAAGTGACAAATTTTAAATGCGAATTTATTCAATTTAATATTTTGTAATCGTTGATAATTATTTTAATTGAATTCACGGGGTGAATAATTTTGCGCTCTTCCAATTTTTTATGAAAACAAATGTTCAACCACTTCTTCCGAATAAATCACTAACGAAATAAACAAAAAAAAACGAAACATTAGGGATACAATCAGCTCCTTATTCTAAACAATTACACATTAACTTAACTTTATTTATTTTATCGATTAAACATGAAAAAAAAATAAAGGCAGGACGGTTTTTCTATTGCCCAATGTATAACAATAAATAGACAAAATGGAAAACGCAATATTTATTACGGTTAATGTATTAGAGATGACAATTAACGAGCGACAAAAATAATAACAATAAATCGGCCGTTTGTATATTGACAGGAAAATAAAAATAAAAGAAAAAAAAGGTGAAAAAAAATTATACGAACAATTGTTATAACTGTACGAAACAAATGGAGAAATAACATATGAACAATAATTCAACCTGCAATATTTATTTATCATTAAAACTGGAAAAGAAACAGATAATTTATGATTGAACAATCAATTTTCATTGATTATTCCGGGAGATGTGGTACATCTTCATGGATTTCTTCCTTTTTTTTTTCTATGTACATGGTAGAGGCATGAGCGTTATCATTGTCATTATTTATACACACTGGTGGCAAAAAACTCGAGACAAGCTAACAATTAATTATTAGATTAAATTTTCATCAATTTTTGTTTTGTCGTGGAAAGCGCAGGGACGCAGAAGACATCCCACTTATTGCAAAACATTAACTTTAATTCTAGAATCCGAAGAGATAATTCATAAACAATAATAAATTAATACTAACGAATTACATGTGATTCCCCTATTTATCGTATCGTGTGGTGAACACTTGGATAATTTCGCTCGTACAAAAGGAAGAAATTGTTTGGATATAATTATTTGAGAGGCTCGTGCTGAAATATCAGTCGATTGCCCCACGTTTGCCCACTTTTTATATAATTATTTATATACAGTTGAGAACGAAAAATAATGTCCCGGTGGCTCTGATTAATTGGCGAATTAATGCGATGGAGACGAATAAGCGAGGGCTTTCAAGCTCACGGGGACTTTTCGGCAGTTTTTGGGATGGATTTATCAGACGGCTATGCGTGCCCTGATAGATGACCTATGTCCATCATCTCCGTGTCCTCCATGCTGTTGTGACCGAGGGGATGAAACCTAAAAAAATTCAATTGGCATATTATTTCTTGTATTCGTTGTAATTATTTATTGTTCAACGCGTTTTTTTTGTTAATTGATCCGCATTTATCGGGTGTTAATTATTGATTGGTGATGACATCCGGGGGATTACCTCTGCTGGGTCTGAAAATGCGTTCGATTACTGATATCCAAACTTCTTGGTGAAAATCCCCTGCCCCCATGACTGCTCCCCAGATAATTTCGCCTGGGACTCCGTGAATTTCCAACCCTCGACTGACTGTACATCCCCTCCAGGACACTCGGTGCAACATAAGTGAATCCCTGAAATATCAGATTAGCAGATTCACTGAGAGTACTCTCAACTGGTGAATCAACGGGAACAGTCTGTGTAAATTGTTCGTCAAACTGTGAAGTATCATCTGCACTCTTGAGGGCTGGCTTGAACGGTGGCTCGAGCTTCCTGGAAATCACATCCTGCCAGTTGATGTGTTTGAAGAAATTGTGGCTCATTATCTGCTTGGCGTCCTCTGGGCCAGAGCCAAGTCGCTGAGCAACTTGTCTCTTCAGGAGTTTTCTTATGAGATCACGAGCATCCGGTGTGAGGTACTGGGGAAGAGCTAGCTTACCCTTGAGAATTTTCTCGATTGTTTTCTTCCTGTCGTCTGCTGTAAATGGCGGCTGAAATTTTCAAATGCAGATAATTATTCTCGAGAATTGAATTAAAAATCGTCAGGGAGTTTCGTTCCCTGGAGGAGAATTTAGGAATTCCCCTGATGATTAAAACGGCTCACCATTCCTGTCAGCATGTCGTACATGAGAGCTCCAAGGCTCCACCAGTCGACGGCCTTTCCGTGTCCACTCCTGGTGAGAATTTCTGGTGCCATGTACTCGATGGTACCACAGAAGGTGTGGGTGACAGTTCCCTCTCCAATATGTTCTTTGCACAATCCAAAATCCGTGAGCTTGACGTGGCCCTCCCTGTCCAGCAGGATATTCTCAGGCTTGAGGTCCCTGTAGATGATCCCCAGCTTGTGGAGGTGCTCCAGGGCGAGGATTATCTCGGACAGATAAAAACACGCCGTGTCCTCGAGAAATATTCCCTCTCGATCTAGATACGTAAATAATTCACCTCCACACAGGTACTCGAGAATCAGATAGAGTTTACCACCTGTCTGGAAGGCGTAGATCAGGTTGACGATGAATGGATGCTTCACAGCCTCCAGGATATTCCTCTCAGCTTTGGTGTGGGCTGTGTCCTTTTGATTGCGAATTATCGACGCCTTGCACAGGACTTTCATCGCGAAAATACTGCCCTTGTCTTTTCCTGAGACTTTTCGCACTTGGAAGACTTTACCGTATCCACCTTCACCGAGGATTTTGCACAGCTCGAAGTCCTTTGGACCGACCTTGTCCTGACCTGGATTCACAGTCTGCTCGGATAGCTGGACCCTCTCCACATTTTCCGAGCTGAGATAAATAAATAAAAAAATTTATGGTGAAAATTAATTTCCGATTTACGACTTCCATGAAATCGGCGATTGTTTAAATCGAAATTATGTCGATTACAGTGGGACTCAGGGGAAAACGTCAGAGGACTTTTTTCTAGCTGATGAGATTCTCGAGAAAAAAAGTCTCTACTATTTTTCTCTAAACCCAACCGCGACCGAGATAATTTCCATTTAAAAAAATGAGTGAATTGATGATAAATTATGAAATCATATTAAAATTCAATTCGATTAATTAATTAATTAATTAATCATCACTCACTCGAGGATGGCATTAACATTCGGATTGGTGTCGTACTCTCCCTGAAAAAAAAACAAACCACATCGTCATGTCACTGATAACAATTATAATAAATTCAAGAATAATAATGAATTGATGAATTTGAATGTCAGCTGATTGCCCAGTGATAATTAATTCAGGAATACCTCGGCAGCTTCGATAATGTCATCATCGGACTCATCCTGGGGTACATTATCGCCGTCATGCAACTCAATGTCGAATATTCCAGCCATATCTTGAATGATTTTGAGTTGATTACATTTATCAATTATTCCTTTTGTTCAGTAATCACTTGTTTCACTCGAGCACTTTATTTACTGCTATTGTTATTATCTTGTCTTACGTGAAGGCTTTTAATTTATTGGGATTCGTGTTTTCGTTGAGGCACGATGTTTCAGGAGTTGTGAATTCTTTTTTTTATCTTTCTTTTTTTATGATCATCGCATGGAAAGCACGCCGCGTTCTCATCGCATTTTATGTTTTCATGAGATGTCGCTCTGACGCTCGTGACGCCTTAATTTTGAAAAATATATCATTTTTTAAAATAAGTCATCGTGAAAATATTTGTATTTCCAATTAAAGATCAATTACTATTAATGATTGGTTAATTAAATTAATTATTTGCTACTGGAGGTCACAGGGAAATGGAGAAATTAAAGTTGAAATTGGCGCGCAAAAGGTGAGGGTCAAAATCGCGGGTCAATTGTGGGTAAAAAAAAATAATCACCGAATTTCTGTTCAATTGTTCAATTACTCTGATGTTTTTTTATCACTTGAATAAAAAAAAATACAGATAATATAATGAAAATAAAAAAAATTTTGGTTTCAATTTTTTAATCACCGGAAGTTTGACTTCACTGGCGCCACAATGGCCGATCTCTCTTTTCCCTCGGATAACCTAATAGCGTGTCTGTCATTGCGATAAACCGAGTCGCAAATCGAAGGTAATCACAGTTTAAATAAACAATCGCCAGTGATAAACGAGTGATTATTAATTTTCAAGACACCCCCGCCATTTCCAAAATAATATTTTTCGTTCTTCGCCGTTAAATCTGGAATTATTTCCCAGTGTCAAGGGCTTCGGAGGTTATGTCCCCAGACCTGCGATCAGACTCGACCCAGTGGTCAACCCAGGAATAAACAAATTGATTAATTAATTAATTAATAAAGCAGTTGATTAATTGCAAGTGAAGGAGTGATCAGCTGATTATTTTGGATAATTTGGAGGGGTTACTGGCGGTTTGGGGCATTTGTTGCTGTCAAATGTTGTGGTTATGTTTTGTTATTGTATTTATTTATTGATTAATTAGTTTAATTGGTAATTGCAGTCATGGTGCGAATGAATGTCCTCAGTGATGCTCTCAAGAGCATCAACAATGCAGAGAAAAGGGGCAAGAGGCAGGTGCTCCTTCGTCCCTGCTCCAAAGTCATCGTCAAGTTCCTCACAGTCATGATGAAGCATGGTAATTAATTATTTAATTAATTATAAGTATTCTAGAGTCACCATGAAATATCCATTGATCTTGGGTACCAGTGGTTTTAGAAGAAAATGTCAAATACCATTTTTTGTGGGAAATTCAATTTTCGAGGAAAAAGTTTTCTTCTGTTTTTACGTGGAGTACGTGGTTTTGTAGATAAATACGGATTTGTCGTCTTTTTTTAGGGTATATTGGGGAATTTGAGATCGTCGATGATCACCGGAGTGGAAAAGTTGTTGTCAATCTCTCAGGACGGCTGAACAAGTGTGGAGTCATTTCACCGAGGTTCGATGTACCCATCACCGATATCGAGAAGTGGACGAACAATCTCCTCCCCTCCCGTCAATTTGGGTAATTATTTGATTAATTGATCAATCATTTTTTTTTCTACTTCCTCTCAAAAAAAGTTCAAAAAAAAATTTGACATTGAGAATTCATGATTGGATTTTTGTGATTACAGATATGTTGTTTTGACTACCAGCGGTGGTATCATGGACCATGAAGAGGCCAGGAGGAAACATTTGGGAGGAAAAATCCTTGGATTTTTCTTCTGAATTTGTAATTTATAGAAAATAAAAAAATACCTGTCTTAATTTCGTTTCTGTATTTCTTTCCCCTTCCCGCTTTATATTAAATACTTCGAATAATCTATATCTCATTACGGAGTTAATTGCATAATTAAAATGCGTGAAATTCAAATTTTTGAAAATCAAAAAAATTCTCCAGCCCCTCTAATCCCCCCATAATCGCCCCCCCAAAAAAAACAACATAAAAATTATGCCCCATGAATAATTCAACATTTTTTCGAAACTGAACGAAAATTGAATTCAAAAATTCCCGCCAGAAGATGACGCCACCCGTTTGAAAAGTGATTGGGTCCAGCGCACACGTACGCTCACCACTACCACATCACAATCAAACCCCCCAACGTACCGTAGATTCGAGTTGCATTCCAGAGTGAAACAAGAGTGAAGCACCTTCTCCAGCCCCTGACAAAAGTGAAGCCCCTGAATCCCCTGGAGATCACCCTGACCCCCAAAATCGTAAACCCCAAAAAATCCCGTGAAAACCAAAAAATAAAATCCATCACCAAAAAACCTGTGGATTTTTCCGTCAATAAAAAATCGTTTACACCTTCAACCTGATGCCAGGGGACTCCAGACAGGGTTGCCAGGTTTTCCAGAGGTGAACGTTTTCCCATCACCCAAAAAATCCGCGGAAAATTCGGGAAAAACCGGGATTTCCCCCGAATCAGTGATTTTTTTGCGAGTGAAAAAAAAAATGAAAAAAAATGAAAAAAAATCCTTGAATCTTTCCTGTGCAGATTGTAATTTCAATTGTTATTGTTATTAATATATTGTCGGGGGATTCGGATCTGTGGATTAATGCCTGTGAAAATTGTGTAACTTCAGGGAAAATTCATTTATTCGGTACTTCGGGGATTGAAGATGAAACGAAGACGGAGGTGACTCGATTGAATAAATGTGACTGTGGGAAATAAACAAGTGATTGTTCTTGGATTTTGTTGGAACAATTGGGATTTAGACAATGGAAAGGTACCGGTGGAACAGTTCTTGTTGGTCTGTCGTGTGAATTGTTCGTGAGATATTTATTTTAATAAGAAAGTATTGTTTTTGGTGGGAGCTTGAGAAAATGGGGAGCAGAATGGAATTTGTGGAAATTATCGGGATTTTATTCATGGTTTGTCTTCTGGCGGAACAGGGAACCGCCACTGGTGAGTGTTTTTACTTGTTTTTTATTTTTATTTAATAATTTTTATAGATTATGTAACTTCAATGAATTTTTACGCTAGATTTTAGATTACGGATACATGAGTCGAATTTTTGGGATATCTTGGAATCTACGGGGGCTAGCGAATTTTTCGTTAGGACCTTTCTTTCAGAGGGAAATGAAACCGACGGAAAAGCTTCAGAGGAAAATTTCGATATCTCTCGTTGATTCAGAGATATTCGTCGAAATCGGGAGAGTCGTCTTTTCGATTTTATTGGGACGGCAGCTCGGGTTTTTTTTTAATTCGTGGATTATCTCCGTAATTATTGGTTGTAGAGGAAAATGTATTCGACCTTTTTTGCAGTTCGCAAAATTATCTACAAAAAAGGTTAACAACATTTTTCTGCGAGACTGATCAGTGCTCCTACAGGCGCGGCAGAAGTTCATTCGAATCGAGATAAGCTTGACCAGGCATTGAAATCTCCAGCATCCGCATTACCACGCCCCACCACTCCCAATAATTATTTAAAAAATTACCAACAATTACAATTCGCCAAGAAAACCATTAAGAATCCCTCAAATCAATCCAACCATAAATTTCATTCGGAAAACCCACGACTTTCCCACATTTCCATCTTTAAATCATCAAAAAATCGAATTACCGAAATAAAAAAATTGTAATAATTATTTTCACTGCATAATTAATTATCTTTATTCTTGAATACTTTGTTTTTAATGTTGCAGTGAAAATAGAGATTATTCCTCGGGCTTTTCCCCCAAAAATAGAGAAAATCTGAAGAAACAAAAATTTATAATCGCGATTTCCCCATTTTTTTTAACAACCGATTTGAGAGACGAGTGGAGCTGAGTATTATGTGATGTTTAATTGAAATTTATTGGGATCATCTCCCGGGGCAATTGCAGCAAGTGAGTTAAATCGTTGACCCCAAGACCGTGGGCGGTAGTTTCGACAGTTAATGACAAGTGGCACATCATCGCGTCATCAAAATTTCAATTAATTTTCCCCCCAATAATTCCCCAATCTCAATAATTTATAACAACCACAACAATTCGACTACCTCTCCCCTTCATTTATTTTACACAAGAATTAATTCATTTTTAACAATTAATTCATTTTTAAATAAAAATAAATGAACATTTTTTCGTGCCAATCGGGGAATTACGAAATGTTTTTCATTCGTATTTTGTTCGTTCGATGGAAAATTGTTGGTGAGGAATGGCAAAAGGGATTTGCGTGTTCCCCACGCCCCGAAGTCCTTTGTTCCCCTTTAATCACACGTAGTTTACCTGTCCTTCCATTCGTTTCCAGTCGTTATTTCTCCTTCATTCCTGGAGTACACACCGGATATACCACTCCCCCCCTTCCCCCCTTTCCCCATATACCCGATGTAACCCCTCCGCCCCCCCTGTCCCCCCCCGAGACCTCATTTATACGCCATTCACCTGCATCCTATGTCTTCTTTCCCACCGATTTTTGTAATTCGACATTAGTTTTTCCCGGGATTATCTCCGCACACAAGGGCTTCACTAAAAAAAGTCGGGGGAGTTTTTTATGCAGATTTTTGTCCGCTTGGGAAAAGGTCTTGTCGGTTTTTATTGTGGAAACAATCGTTTTTGAGATTTTTATGGGTTTTTATGACAGGATTTTGGGGAAATTCGGGTTTTGCGATTGATTTGGATTTTTTTTTTGCAATTCGCGGTGGAATATCTCGGTAATTATTGGATTGACGAAGAAATGAGATCTCAGTTTTTTCTAGAGAATTTTCCGATCTTTAAAAAAGATTCTACGAATTTTTCCGAGAAATCAATCATTTCCAAGATAATTCAATATTTCATAAACCAAAATTTTGTTAAAAACCCAATTTTCCAGGAAACTCAATTTCCCCTGGACTTGCATCTGTAAATAACTCAAAAACGACTAGATTCCCGACAAAAACTGTCAGAGCCTTTTCCGCAGAGAATTTCCTCTGGAACAAAAAAGGTCCAGTGAACTTTCCCCTAAACCCTCCCCCTCCCCCGATAATTCCACAAAACCGCGATATACCTGAAACCTGAAAGTGGAAATTTGTCTTTGTCCCGGTGTATCGAACCTGAAAAAATTTCTAAAACCTAAAAAAAATGAAGAGTGAAGAGTAACGAAAGAGGAATCGTGTTACATCACGCCATGAGAGGAAGTTGAAGTGGTTTAGAAGATGGAGTGAATAAAAAATCCTGGAGTGAAACTCTTATGGTCGATATGAGAAGGGAATGCTCTCCATCTTCTTCAGGGGCTATTGCTCCTCCAATCGCAATTTGCTCATTGTCAATTGTCAATTGATTCCCCTTGACAGCGCTCCAATTCATCGGGTCAATTTATTCATGAACATCATTTATTCAGCCCAAACAGACGAGTTGTTTATTTATTTTAGGTGGGGCTGGAGATCTTTATGCCACAGTATAAACTTTTATCGTTTCAGTTTAAATCTTTCAGATAGAGGGAGAGATTTTATTTTGGGATTCACTTTCAGAATTTGCTGACGGAAATCTGATTCAATCTCCAACTCAATTTCAGTTTCAGTTTATTATTCATTTTTCTCGGGTTTATACAGATTTTCAACGGAACGTTTATAGCTTTTTTCTATTATTACTCGGTAATTACGAAATTCAGGGGAAAATTGTGGGAAGATTTTTTGAAGCTGGGGAAATTCTCCAGATTAAAGTCCTTTTGACATTTTTTCACTCGATTACTTGCCCTCGAGATAATTGAGTAATTGGAATAAATAGAAGATTAAATTCATTGTGACTTTTCGGAACATTGATTTATTGAATCGGAATTTTCTCCAGAAGGAGTGGCTGTAGCAAAAAATCTCACAGAACCTTTTTTGAAGGCAAGAAAATTTCCCACGGAAAAGTCTCGGGGCATTTCCCTCTGGAATCACTCCCCATGGATATAATCCAGCGTTTAAGTGTTCTACAGAATTAGACCTGTTGAATAAATTCGTTTCTGGGGGATTGTAATTATTATATAAAAAATTATAGTACATTGGAAAATTCTGATAATTCACTGGTGACGATGGGTGCACACGTGCTTGTCATCTTGGATATTTTTCCAAGTACAGAAAGCCTTAAGAAACTCCAACAACTCGAGACATCCGCAGCCTTGACGGATATATCTATAGAGTTTATGGCGTTTATGTAGACGGTAATGGGGGGGAAATGAGGGGAAATGAGGGGGAAAAGAGGGGAAAAAAGGGGAGAGGACGTCCCAGGCCTGGGGGGCGGTCAGTGGCCTCAAGACTTCTCTCTAACTCCAGAACCTGAGTTCCAGACTCTGGGATTTCAGGTGGCGTCCCGGAATTATTCATTTATTTTTATTATTACTCGGTAATGAGGAAATTTAGAGAAAAATGGTAAGGAAATTTTTTGAAGCTGAGGAAATTCTCTGGATAAAACCTTCCGGACATTTTTTGATGAAATTATTTCATCCGGAGATAATTGAGAAATTGGAAAAGATAGAAAATCGAATTTACTGTGAATTCATTCTAGAGATTCAATTCTCTCGACAGCAATTAAATTTATCCCAAAATGCCAGAGGACTTTTTTGTAGCCGTCTTTATCCTCCCCAAAAAAGATAATCACTCATTTCCCCCTAAACCCACTCCCCCCCGAGATAATGAACTCCCAAGCGTGCGGCGCGTAATAATAAACGATTCACTGACACTAAAAAAATTAACAACAAATAAAAAAAAAGCGATAACACAACACGTGATGTAATCTAGGTCAATCCACGTAATTAAGATAATTCATTTGATTTCCGCTTTGATGATTTCACTATCGCATGCGGAATTGCAAAAATTTCTCCTTTCGCCGGATTTATCGGGGGATAATTTCTTTTTTTTTTCAACATCAATAAATAAATAATAATTGCATCGGAAATCGTGAGGGCATTGGCCTCGGATTTCAGTTGGCAGAGAGTCGGAATAAAAAATCAGATCCCGGGGTTGTTTTACCCCAGGAACCCACCCCAGGGGTGGGGACATCTGCAAAATGTTGGCGCATTGCGTCTTACCACCGAAAACCCGACATTTATTTCGTCTACCAGAGAATTCCCGCAGTCTAGGGGTTGTCAACCCCTTCATCCCATAAATTTCATAATCATCCCCTCAAATTTATCAATTAATCCATCATTTTTATTTTATTCTGGTAATTTTTTTATAAATATTTAAACTTAAATCGGGTCGTGGCTTTTTAAATGCCCAGCGAAAGATTTTTCTTTCGTTCTATTTTTGGCAGCTTGGCAGCTGTCGGGGTGCTGTCAAGGGGTGCCAAGGCGACAATAAGGGCTCGTTTCCCCCCTTCTACCCCGAGAGGAAACCGGAAAAAACACCCGCTGGCCAGGTGCACCCCGGCGTAACAACAAAATAAAGATAGAAAAAAATTGCGAGAAATTAATAACGAAAACTGGCGGAAAAATTTAAATAAAAAAGCGAAAATAACAGGGACTATTCTATCCCCTTTAAAAAATCATTTGCCATAAAGTATTTGATGAAAATATTGTTACTGTTTATTATATCCTTTTATTTTTTAATTAAGTCATTGTTAATTATTGGCTGGAGTTGTTTAATACTTCACGTGAGAATTTTTCTCTCCGTGTTTCGATAAAAATTATCGAAAAAAAATGCTTGTTTCATAATTACGGTGTTTATTGTAATTGTGTGCGCGTGTTGCTTGTTGTTGATAAAAAACGGTAAATATGTAATTACTCGGAAAAGATAAGAAGTATTTTGTAGTGAAGTGAAGCGGCGTCCCCCGATTCCGCGCTTTTTTCGGAAATATCTCCTGAACCAGCGGAAATACCGTAATTTTCGTAATTACGTTTTCTATAGATCTCAATGAACTCCACAAAAAAGGTCCCTACCACATTTCGCTATCTGACTTCGATCTCGAGATTTTCGCGAAAAACGAGTTCACGTCACGACACGACTGTCCCCATTTTCCAACAGTCACGAGCGCCTTATCAGTGCTCTTATCAAAATTCTTATCAGAACCTTTTCTATAGCTCTCGATTAGCCCTACAAAAAATATTCCCACAAAAATTTCGCTAACTCCTTCGATTCCCGAGATATTTCAAAAAAACTCAATTTTTCTATTTTTATTATCATGAATATGGCGTCTGCCATGTGTCACTTTCTTTTTTCATGAATAATAATAATTATTTATTTATTGATAACGGGATGGGGAACAGATGCGTTTAGACACGCGCACTTGAGTTCAAATTCTCCCCCTTATGCCAGTCGTTTCAATTTGTTCCCCTCCAGGGATTTTTTTTTTTTAACATTCGTCGCAAGTGCACTTGCACTTTAAAACTCTAGAACGTGCCTCAAAACGCCAGCTAGACTGTTCCTTTTCCATTCACACCCCTTCCCCTTCCCTAATAACCCAGGGAAATTTATTTTGAGTGGATTAAACCGCCACGTCGACAGTCTCCATACAAAAAAGATCTTGAATTCCGTCTGGAGTTGAATTGTTTAATTCTCCAAAAATTCCATAAAAAAATTCCACTATAATAAATTAACGTTAAAATTCTTCAATGAATGTTCAATAAAAATTGTTGATGACCCGTTGGAAAAAAAATTCGTTGAAAAATATTTAACCAGCTGTAAGGAAATTCCGGAATTCCTGGGGACCGGTCACGAATCCCAATTCTCTGAGTCATGAGCATTCTCCGGGTGGATAAAAGGCCGAGAGCCTTTGAGTACCGGATTTATTAATTACCGCAATTCCTTATCTCAACGGTATCAGTCACTGGGTTCCACCCAGTGCTTCATGCTCCAGAAATCGCGTCTGACTTTTTTCGTGATGTTTTCACTTTTTTTTTCATCAGCCCAGAGGAACTCATCACGCAGGTCATCCAGTATTCATACTAGGCTTTTATCAGGCTTCGTCGACACCAGCTCCCAGGGAATAATTATCTCTGGGTGTAATTTCTGGGTCGACGTCGTGTGCAGGAATAAATCATAAATTCATTGAGTATTGAATTTTTTTTCCGGCAAATCTTTTCATGGAGTAAAATCATTTCGGCTCTCAATAAAACGGGGAAAAATTCTCTGGGACTGGTTTGTGGGTCAGCTAGACGTCATATGCAATAGATAACCCATTGAGTCATCCATCGAGGGAGAGTTCGTCTGCAGTAACGATATCTTTCATTTTTTTTCAGAGTCTCTGCAAGAACCGCGTTTTGTCACGCAACCATCGGGCGTCAGCAATATCCTGATAGAAAGTCGTACCAAGATTTTGCAATGTCAAGCTCGAGGTGAATATAAACAATTTCCCCATCCCCACAATAAAAAAAAAATATCCTGATCCGATGACACGTGAGGAGAAGCCCCTGAAGGTGTAACCAAATCCCCAGGTACCTAAAAAAAAAAATTCTCCACAGGCTACCCCCAACCGAAGTACCGGTGGTTCAAGGATGGGGTTGCCCTGAGCAACGAGTTGACGTCGGAGCCCTTCTGGAGGATTCAGAGCCCAAAGAGAAAAGACGCTGGTGTGTACTACTGCGTCGCCACCAACGATGTCGGCTCAGTTTTCAGTGAGCGTGTCAAATTCTCGGTTGCTTACATGGGAATATTTGAGGATCCCCTGGAGAAGCTCGTGGATGTGGAATTCGGTGGGGCTGCTATCCTGGAGCTACCGGAGATTGAGAGCCATCCACCACCCGATGTCACATGGTCAACACCAGATGGTCCCATTCCTTATGACATCAAGTACGCCGTCAGTGAGAATAAATTACTGATTCTCAATGCCAATGACAGGGACGAGGGATCCTACAGGGCACGAGCACTCAATACGTACATCGGTAAGGAGGAGTACTCACCATTTTTTAAGCTCAAGGTCGATGGAGATAGCACGCTGGAGGTACCTCCTACTATTATCATTCAACCGAGGGACACCAAGATCATCAAGGATCAGTCTGTCAGCAATTTGGACTGCATTGCTAATGCTAGATCTCTTCATGAACTCAGGACACTCTGGACCAAGGATGGAATACCTATTGAGAACGCCAGGATATCCTTCAGCTTTCGGGATCTGTGGAATAGAACACTTGAACTTATTTCTGCTAATTCAACTTATAGGGGCGTTTACACTTGTCATGTTGAGATGAGGAGTGGGGGATTTCCTGTTATCAATTCCAGTGCTAGTGTTGATGTCCTTGAGAAACCGACTTTTGTCAGTGAACTTAAGAGAGAGACGCATGGGGAATATGGATCTCAGGTCAGGATTCCCTGTGATGTCCTGGGGGTACCAACTCCTAAGATCGAGTGGTTTCATAATGCTCAGCCTGTTGGAGGCACTAGGTGAGGATTTTTTGGCGTCTGAGGGAATTTGCAATTCGGAGATTTAAAAAATTGCAATTTTTTAATAGATTTCACGTCGATGATGACGGATCACTCGTGATAAAACGTCTGACGATGGATTACGCGGGGATGTTCCAGTGTCTGGCCTCCAATGAAGCTGGCGAGGCATCCAGTTATACTTGGCTCAAGGTCAAAAGTGAGTAGATAGTTTTGAGGTAGTTATTCCAAGAATAATCCAACAATCATTTATTTTATCCGGGTTAATTTATGTGGGAGCAGGCGAGAAGAGAAAGAGGGTTGCCCGTCGTGCAGCTGGCTACAGGGTAGTCAGAGTACGACAATCAGATCGACGTTTTGAATTCACACAATACCCAGAGAGTAAGGAAAATAATCGGGGAACCGAACAATCAAAATTCACCGAGAGACAGCTTTTATTTTTTCTTCTCTTCGTTTTTTTTTTGTTTTTTTTTCATTCTAGGTCTGGAATCAAATCAACTTCCATGAGATTTTCAGAGATATCTCCGAAATGAGGGGTGATACGGAATTTTTCGTCTGAATTTTTTTTGTAGAGCTGATCGAGAAGCGGAAAAATCATTTCTACGGAAAATTTTGTATTTCTCCTTGGTGCGATGATATTTCGAGAAAATCACGGAAATTCATATTTTGACTTCAGATTTTAGGTTTTTCATGTGGTTCTTTAGTTTTTGAAAACACATATGTAGATCAGAGACGATAGCGTAATCATCACCAAAGGCACAGCTTGACATCATGCTTGTTTTATTTTTTTTTATATTGTTGTGTGCAATTCTTGCATTTGTAGGAACTCAACCTTTAATTAGTGGGACATTTCATTAATTCCTCCAAAAATCACTCCAAAAATATTTATTCCAGAATATGAACCGTCACAATTAATTTCCATTTGATCATTAAATCAATAATAAATACAGAGAAGTCGATGAAATGTCCAATAAATCGTGCCCCGGCCCCTAGAAGAGTGTATCCTCTAGACTTCTGCATCAGTTTCGCCCTCACTCTCCCCTCACGCATGATTCCCAGCCCCCAGGATCCTCCAGGATTCCTCAGGAACTCCCTAACATAAACTTGCTTTCAGCCTCGACTCCAATCCTGGAGACGAGTCCTCGAAACCTAACCGTCCTCGACGGCAAGGACGCCACGCTCACCTGCAGAGCAGTGGGTGCACCAATTCCCAACACCACCTGGATCTTCAACGATACGATACCAGTGGAGATCGCAGGTCGTGTGCAGCTCCTGGAGTCTGGAGACCTCTCGATATCCCCAGTGAAGGTGAATGACGCTGGTAAATACACATGCATCCGTTCAAACGACGCAGGAACGGTCAACGGTTCTGGCTACCTGTCGATCCACGTGAGAACTCAGATAATCCGTCCACCAAGTGACACATCAGTCCTTCTAGGACACACAGCAGAGCTCCAGTGTCGAGTGTCGAACGATCCAAACGTTCCCTTCGACATCGACTGGTTTCATAATTCTCAATTGATGAATCTGAGGGCAAGTCCCAGGGTCAAGATGAGAGACGATGGAGCTCTGGAGATTGTTGCTGTCAGGGCGTCTGACGTAGGGGAGTACACGTGCTCTGTTATTTCACCTGGTGGTAATGAAACACGAAGTGCTAGACTCAGTGTCATTGAGCTGCCATTTGCACCGATCAATGTCATCGCTGAGAGGAATGAGAGGATATCACCGAGGGCGATCAACGTCACATGGGTACCTGGATTCGATGGCAACAGCCCCACCACGAAGTTCGTTGTTGAGAGACGAGTGGTACCTGAGATGGGACCCATTGCTGATACTCTTTCTAATTGGGTTGTTGAGGATGACAATGTGTCTGCGGTTGTCAGGTGGTGTTTGCTCCGAGACTTGAAAGCAGCGGCTGCTTATCAGTTCCGGGTGACGGCGGTGAATTTAGTGGGTGAGGGCCCACCCTCAGAGCCCAGCAACATCGTGGCCCTTCCCCAGGAGCCACCCTCAGGTCCTCCAGTGGGTCTTGTAGGTTCTGCACGCTCGGATTCGGAAATAATCACCCAGTGGCAGCCACCCCTGGAGGAGCACAGGAATGGCCACATCCTCGGGTACATCCTGAGGTATCGTCTGCATGGGTATTACAATCAAAGCCCCTGGATCACCCACAACATCACCAACGAGGCCCAGAAGAACTACTTGATATCGGACCTCATCACCTGGAAGGATTACATCGTGCAGATTGCTGCGTACAATGACAAGGGTGTGGGTGTATTCACCGAGGGATTGATCATTAAGACGAAGGAGGGAAGACCCGAGGCACCACCGACGAACGTCAGGGCAGAGGCCGTCAACTCGACGTCCATCGGGGTCTGGTGGAAGCCCCCAAATCCTCAGAAGATCAATGGCATTAATCAGGGTTACAAAATTCAGGCGTGGACCGGTGGAAATTTCACTGATTCCAACGAATTCAAATCCCTGAAGGTGCCACCCAGTCTCTTCGATCCTCTGGCCGAGCAGAGTGCAGTGATCAGTGGTCTGAGGAAGTACACCATCTACAATATCACGGTTCTCTGCTTCACAGACCCAGGAGATGGTGAGAGATCGACTCCCATCGAAGTGAGAACCAGTGAGGACGTACCTGGAGAAGTGGAGAATCTCCAGTTCGACGATATCAGCGATCGAGCATTGACTGTTCGCTGGAGTCCTCCCGGTGAGGTGAACGGTGTCCTCACGGGTTATAAACTGACGTATCAGATCAAGGACAATGTCGATTCCCTTCGTGTCCTCAATTTCTCAGCTGACGTATTATCCAGTAAAGTGGAGCACCTGCAGCCGACGACGCATTATCGTTTTGAGGTGACAGCTTGGACGTCGAGGGGTGCAGGAAGGCCCAGGGTGGCGACAATTCAGTCTGGGGTGGAGCCAGTGCTACCAGAGCCACCACTCAAGCTCGCCCTCTCGAATATCGATGCCTTTTCCGTTGTCCTCCAGTTCACTCCAGGCTTCGACGGCAATTCATCGATCCTCACGTGGTCTGTCCAGGCCCAGACCCCCAGGAATACCACCTGGTACACCATCTTCGAGGTGTCAGACCCGGACGCCTCGACGATCACCGTTGGAGGACTCATTCCCTTCATGCAGTACAAATTGAGGCTCATCGCTGTTAATGTTGTGGGTGCCTCCAAGCCGTCAGAACCCACCAAGGAATTCCAGACAATTCAGGCACCGCCCTCTCATCCTCCCAGGAACGTCACCGTCAGGGCAATGAGTGCCACTGAGCTCAGGGTCCGGTGGATACCACTACAGCAGATCGAGTGGTATGGCAATCCCAGGGGGTACAACGTGACCTTCACCGAGGTCAGGACTAATAAATCCAAGAGCATCGCCATCGAGGATCACACTGCCAATTCGTACGTCCTGGAGGCAATGGAGGAGTTTGCACTCTACGAGATCGTCATGCAGGCGTACAACGACGTGGGGTCATCCCCATCGAGTCCAAAAGCCATCGAGAGAACTAGGGAATCCGTTCCCTCCGTGGGCCCTTCCAATGTCGAGGCTAATGCCACTTCCTCGACGACGATTTTAGTCAGGTGGGGTGAAATTCCTGTTGTCCATCAGAACGGACAGATCGAGGGCTACAAGGTCTTCTACGGGGCCAGTGGTTCACCCTATCAGTACAAAAACATCCCCAGGAACACGACATTCACCACAACTCTGACTGAACTCCGGAAATTCGTTCAGTATCACATTCAGGTGCTGGGTTACACGAGATTGGGGGATGGGGCTCTGAGTGGTCCACCTGTCAGGGTTCAAACCTTCGAGGATGTTCCTGGACCTCCGTCCAATGTCTCATTTCCTGATGTATCATTCAGCACTGCCAGAATCATCTGGGATACGCCTGAGGATCCCAACGGTGAAATTCTCGCCTACAAAGTCATGTTTCATTTGAATAATAGTCAGGAGAGGATCTTCTCCAAGGAATTCCCGGCGTCTGACCGGACATTCCAGGCGCATGACCTCGAGGCCGAGAGGTACTACATGTTCTCGGTTGCTGCACAGACGAGATTGGGATGGGGTAAAACAGCATCGGGTCTGGTTCTCACCACCAACAACCGGGAGAGGCCACAGCCACCCTCGATGCCCCAGGTGAGTCGATCCCAGGTTCAGAGCAGACAGATCACTTTCTCGTGGACACCAGGACCCGATGGTTTTGCACCTCTTCGTTATTATACAGTCCAGAAGAGCGAGAACTCCGGTCCTTTTCAGATCATCCCCGAGAGGGTCGACCCCACGTTGACGTCATACACAGCCAATAATTTGAAGCCCTTCACCTATTATCAATTTCGAATCCAGGGGACCAATGATATTGGTCCATCCTCGTGGAGTGGTGAGTCTATTCAGGTGCAGACACTGCCAGCAGCACCAGCCAGGGGTGTCACTGGACTCAGAGTTGTTCCCATCACGACGACGAGTGTCGAGGTGCACTGGGAGGTGATCGAGGAGGTGCACTGGAGTGGGGATTACGAGACCGGTGGTTATCGCGTTGTGTATCAGCCAGTTTCGGATTTTCCAACGGCCCTGGAGGCCACCCCCAAGCAGGAGATCCTGGGGATCAGACAGGGCAAAATGGTACTGAGTGATCTGATGGAGGACAGGAATTATGAGATCGTTGTCCTGCCATTTAACTCCGAGGGCGATGGACCAGCAAGTCCTCCAGTCACTGTTTACGTGGGTGAGGCTGTGCCGACGGGGGAGCCCCAGGGGGTCAGGGCACTCCCCATATCTGGGACTGAGGTGACGCTCCAGTGGAGACCACCTCTTGCCAATATGCAGAATGGAGATCTACTGGGGTACAAGATATTCTATCTCGTCACTGATTCACCCCAGGCACTCGAGAAGAAACAGGAGGAGGAGATCGAGGTCGTACCTGCCTCCTACCTCATCCACAATCTCGTATTCCTGGATAAATACACGGAGTACAGGATTGAGGTGCTCGCTTTTAATCCAGCTGGTGATGGCCCAAGATCACCCCCCATCACTGTGAGAACGAAACAAGATTTACCTGGTGCACCCATGAATCTCCAATTCTCCGAGATCACGATGACGAGTATGAGGGTCACCTGGGATCCACCCAGGATGAGGAATGGCGAGATCGTCGGGTATATCGTGACTTATGAAACTGCTGAGCAGAATGACAAGTTCAGTAAACAGGTCAAGCAGAAAGTAACCGAGGGGAGTCTCCTGGTGCAGCCCCTCGAGGAAGAGGTGACTTATACCTTCATGGTGAGGGCATTGACCATTGATTTTGGTCCACCTGTTTCGGGGAATGTCACCACTGGGCCCCAGGAGGGATCACCCATGGCACCCAGTAAACTCAGTGTCACCAAGACTCCGGTTTCCAGTGTTGACATGCAGTGGGTGAATGGAGCCTCGGGGAAGGGCCCCATCCTCGGGTACTACATCGAAACCAGGAGGAAAGGTAATTTTTGGGGGTTGATTATTTTTTATTCAGGGGTGGGAGAGAGAAATTTTCTCCTTCTCCCATCTCCCAATGGATTCCTCTTTCAAATCGAATCTTAATTATTTTTTCATATGTTATTTGTTTATTCGTGGTGGGTACAGCCATCGAAGATTGGCGGAAGTGTAAGTCTAACATCCCCTTGAGTTCATTTGCAACATAATTATTCCATTAGATACATTTACCATAACAATTAATTCATTCTTCATAATTTCTCGTTATCAGCAATTGTAATCCATTCATTAATACCCGAATTAATTAATTTTCAATCATAATTATTTAATTACTGACAAAATTCGCAATCCAATTATTAATTAAATTAATATCAAATAACATAAATATATATATTTTCAGTCTTTTGGGAATTAAAAAACGAATAGATCCAATAGTGATTTTTTTTCATTAAAAATTGACATTCAGAAAAATTGATAATAATTGGATAATCTTTGGCTTTAGACGAGACTCGCTGGCAGACAATCGTGAAGACGAGCAACGGCCCCTTGACGGACTACTCGGTGTCTTACCAGAACCTTCTGCCCTCCACTTCGTACCTCTTCAGGGTGATATCATATAATCGATACGGAATAAGTTATCCCGCTTATTCTTCAGAGACAGTGGTAACCCCATCGAAGCTCTACTTCGAGTACGCGTACCTCCAGTACAAGCCATTCTACCGTCAGACGTGGTTCATGGTGACCCTGGCAGCGACGTCGATCGTCATCATCATCATGGTTGTGGCAGTGCTGTGCGTCAAGAGCAAAAGCTACAAGTACAAGCAGGAGGCGCAGAAGACACTGGAGGAGTCGATGGCAATGGACATCGATGACAGACAGGCATCTGATCTGTCTCTGTACAGGACGAGACCCTCAGGTGGTACCTTGAATATAGGCAGCGCCTGTGGTACACTCGGCAAGAGGAGCACCCTGGGAAGGAAGTCCATTCATCCACCACCACCTCCCATGCATGGAAAATCACCACCAAGACCATCACCAGCTTCTGTCGCTTATCACAGCGATGAGGAGAGTCTCAAGGGGTACGATGAGAATCCTGATGACTCCAGTGTCACCGAGAAACCCTCGGAGATCAGCTCCACTGACTCTCAGGGATCAGAGAGTGAAAACGAGAGTGTCCAGTCGGATCCCCACTCCTTCGTAAATCACTACGCAAATGTAAATGACTCCCTCCGCCAATCCTGGAAGCGACAGAAGCCTGTGAGGAATTATTCCTCGTACACAGACTCTGAGCCAGAAGGTAGTGCAGTTGTCAGTTTAAACGGTGGACAGATCATCATGAACAACATGGCGAGGTCCCGAGCACCTCTCCCCGGCTTCTCCTCATTCGTATGATCCTCCTGACACCTGGAGCAACTTATCATTGTGATATACTAATTGACATTAACAATTTATTAATTTATAGACTCACTCATCGAGATCTCCGTAGCTTACGAAGGGAGAAGACAGTTTAGATTATAGATAGTACATATTTTTGAGTGTCCTGGAGCTTTTCATGAGCTCGTCATGAGATCCTGAAATTACTGCATTTATCGCCTGTGCCACCACTTATTTTTGGTTTTTTTGTGAGATTTTCTCCTGCCATCGCATGTAAATTTAGCTCTCATACGTACATTCTGGGGGAGAGAGGTAAAATAATTTCCTCTTTATGCCAACGATTCATTCATAAATTGATGTTCATCATCCGGACCTTTTGGAGATCAATTCATATTTTTTTTTAATGGGTATTCATTTTCACCATTTAATTACACTTTTTGCTGGTGAAATTATCAGAGATTTTACCCCTCTCTCCCCTGATATCGAAAACAATCATATCGTTGGAGTAAGTACGTAATCTTGTTTGTAAAGATTATTAGGGTCCGAGTGTCTGTAAATATTCCTAACACACTTGACTGAAGATTTATTTTTATTTGATTATTGGAGGAGAATTTCATTTGTCCAACACATACGAGACAGATTTAATTAGTAATTAGTTGATAAATAAATCTTTAGGACCAATATCCTCGGGAGGGTAGGAAAAAGGCTGAATTTACAAATTTTTCTATTAATTAGGGGCAGAATGGACTCCACTTCAACTTTTTGAATTAATTAACTTTTTCATTTACTGTTAAATTGTAAATTAATCGCAATTAATGATTTTTCTTTGGTTCTTTTTCATGATTACTTTCCCCTTGGGTCATGGATATTTCGAATTTTAATAAATTATCCATTTTGCCCCACCCTCAGCCCTGCTATTATCAGGGGTCCAATCACTGCCCACCATTTCAACGTTTAGTTCAATTTCTCTATTTATAAATAATTATAGCAGGAATACTTATCAATCAATAAGTAAATTTAAGAAATGTTTTCTTTTCGTACATGTTATTACCTTTAATAAAAAGCGATTTATTAAATTTATGAGAATATCCATTTGTCTATTAATTATAAAAATGGGATTTCATGGGTTCAGACATTGAGACTCTTCTCGCATTTCTGGTACCAACTGGCGAGATTTGAGGGAAGAGATTTCGGGGAAATTTGTTTGAGGGCTGACCAGACAGCGACGTCTCCGATTCCAGGAGTTTTACGAGTGGAGAACCAATTTCCATTGGTTATTTTCTTATCCAGAATATTTATGATTGATAGTTTGATTTTTAAATTGTCCTGGGAGACGAGTTGGTGGGAGAGGTCGAGAATTCCATCGATTTTTGTGGCTTCCTCCGGAGGGAGGGAGTCGTGGTTGTCCAGGAGTCTTGAGAGGTACCTGAGGAGATTCACTTCACCCAAAATTCTCGACTCGTGGAGACTAGAGAGCACCAATTCTGCATTGTTCACTGGAAATTCGAAATTAATCCCTACATTCTCCATTTTTGCTCCATAATTAGATTAATTACCTTTTTTCCAAATCAACGAGATGCTGATGACACTCTCTCCACATCCTCTGGTCCTCCCAAATCCTTCAGGAATCACTCCTTGGACACTGGAATGCTGGAAGGGTTCTATTCTGAAGTCCACGTCACTCCAGAGTTTTTTTAGCGCCAGAAGGGAGTAGGCAGGGCTCTCGGGGTTGACGTTCACCACGAAATCCGCAGTCACGGGTTCCTGGACAGGGAGAAATCAATGAGGGATGGGTTCAGGAAAATTTTAGGCAAGACGTTTTACCCTTTTGGATTTTCTCGGGCTCTTGGGATTCTCGTTCGACTTCAGGACATCACAGAGACTCAGCACTTGAGCCTTCAGCTCTGCCAATTGCACCAGGATCTTCTCCTGCCTCGTCTCCAGAGCTTTAACTTCAGGGAGAGGACTCTGCGAAAATAATTGTCAAATTCATTATCACTTGTGAATATAAAATAAAATCTGTTTTTTCTCTGGAGAACTGAAGGAATCAATGGAAAATTATTGAAACTGTAATGAATAAAAAATGAATTATTAATATAAACAATTGTGTAAAATTATTATGAACCCCTGAATTTTCCGAAAATTCCAGCTGTGGAATTTCCAGCGATGGAATGACATTTTCGTTCGAAAAAAAAAGAAAGAATTTTATCGTTAACCCTATTTTTCATTCGGATTTAAGTCGACGAGTGAAACCATCGATTCAAAAAAAAAAAACAATTACAAAATGCCAGTGCCCAGGGCAAGGAAAAATTGTCCGAGGGGAGGAGAGAGAGTGGCACCTCCACACATCGATCAAGCCCAACACCATATTCTCTTGGATCGAGTGATTAGTGCCCCTTGAAATTTCGGGATAAGTTGATCGTCAAAAGTACTGATATTTTTCTCGACTAGTCATGGCCTGTCCGAGGGTGAGTTTGAATTTTTAATCGACTCCTGGGTGTCCCTCGGGTGCGTCCACCACTGGAAAATTACGGGGAAATCAGTGGAAAAATGGGGAAAAACCTTGAGATAGTTGATAACCTGCGATGTGACATTCGAGTCGATCCTGCAGTCCTGCCTCGTGTGGCCATTGCGATGAATATTTTTCATTTCGTACATGCAATCACTCGATCGTTCCGGCAATTCGTCGTGATGGATTATCGGGCGTAAACTGTACATTGTCGTCATTTTGACGGTCTTTTTGAGGTCGATCGGCTTTTTTTGAACGATTTTTCAATTTTTTTCTGAGGATTTTCACACCGTTTTTTCGTTTCAACGACTGTTACTGTTTTTTATGCCGCCATTTTTTTAGATCGAGTGATTGTTGTTGTCGGTTTGGCTTCGGGGGAGTTCGGGATAGCGGGGGGCGGGGGAATTCAAAATTTGGGTTTTGGGAGGAATTTTCCTGGGAATAATTGAGAAAAAATTTCAAAATCATCGCGAAAATCCCGGAAGTCGGATCTGATCGAAATAAAAATCATTAATAAATGAATTATTCAATTAATTAATTGGGATAAGTCAGTGAAAAAATTAATAATCAAAATAATAATTAAAAACCCGCAATCCAAAAATCCAGTGCCTTTCGAAAAACCCAAAGAATCAAAATGTCATTCACTCCAAAAATTTTTCAACAAAAAAAATGATCAATTTGATTTAGGCGGGAAACAACTCCAATCAATACACTCCCCCCTCCCTCCCATCAATCCCCGCGATTTGGAAAAAAAATGCCGTGAAAATTCCCCGAGAATTCCAAAATCTCGGAAAACCCTCTCCCACCAAAAAATTTTCTCGAAATATATTTTTTCATTTTCCACTTCCCCCAGTCACCCCCTGCACCCCGAGCTTTGCAGATGGCGTATTCCCCCGGGCAGTGGTGAAAAATCTCTCTCGCGACATTCCTCCCCCCGAGTGAAATACCCGACAAAAAAAAATCCCCAACCCGTTAAAAACTCAAAATCCATCCCCTTAAAAATCATCCCCCGAAAAATCGTTCCTCCCCCGTGGCTATCGCGAAAAATTAAAAAAAAAGCCCCAAAAAGTGTTGAAAAAGTGGTGTCCTCTCGCGAGACTCACCCCGAACTAAGGTTATTCCCTGCGTATCAATTTCGCGGTTGCAAAAGGTGTTCCAGGTGCATCCGAGGGTGAAACCCCCACGTGAAATCCCGTGTGAACTCTCCAGGTGCATCCAGAACTCATTAAATGCCTCTGGAGCCCCAGGACTGACAGGTTAGAAAATCATTTACCCAAATTCATGAAAAAAAAAATTTCTCAATTTGAAGATAACTGTCGCCCCCTGGAGGAATTGCGCCGTCATTGCGCCGACGTTACGCCTCCCCAGGAAGGGGGGCCGATTAACCCAGAGAACCTGGTGAAGCCCCCCTGGAGTACCCTCACCCCCTCAAAAACGAAAGAAAAATTCAAATATTTCCACCCCCCAACTGGTGATTTCTCCCCGTTCCCCAGGCCCCCATTTTCCCCCACGAAAAAAACCCCTCATTTTGTCCCATCAAAATGGCGGAACATCCGGCAGTAGTCGATTGACCAATGGCTCGTTCCCTCTCATCTAGACCCTCAACGAAAAAAAGCGTACCGCCCTCCAAGTTGTGCCCCCCTGGCGTCACTGTTGTCCTCGTATTCAGCCCCCCAAGTATTTTTTTTTAATCAAATCGACACAGCATTTTAAAACGCCCCAGATTAAACCCAGAAGACGTGATAATCGAGGTTGTGGTGATAGAGGGACTAGTGAGTGCTATTCCACGAGGTGTACCTCGTCCCTCCGCGGCATCCCAATCCAGGGGATCATCGTGGACCCTGAGGGAGCTATTTGTTATTTCACCACCAATCCCATCGCAAATCTGGGGTTTTTCAAAAAAACTCGTTATTGTGCGCGCAATATGATTTTATGTATCGTCACGTGACCTTGGGGTGGGAAAAAATGGCGCAAATGGATGGGTACAAACATGGATTCATTGTCAATGCGGAGAGAGTATTTGTTTACAAACGTTTGTCATCATAAACCACGTGTCAAGTGACAAGGGTGATTGTGATTTAGTGAGAGGTTTAATCGAGGTTCTTGAGGAGAAGGTAGGCTTTGGGGATTGGGGGTGAGTTACATCTTCTCGAGGGTGAGGGAAAGATTTGGATTTATTTCGTCATTCCATCTTAATCCTCATCCCAACCCCATAATTACCCTCTAATTATCCCACTCATCAAAATAATCATCAACGAATCCTCCAAGTCACCAGAAAATCTCACCTACACAAGTCAATGAATATCTCTTCATTCAGAAAAAAATCCATCCTCAGAGTGACGTAGATTTCTGTCCCCCAGTGTCAGCAGGAGCCCGAGGATGACGGGTCGTGGCCCGAAGAGGCGAGGAAGGCCGCCGAAGTCGGTGGTGCTGGAACGTCCGAAGAAGTTTCAGTACCACTTGATGAAGAAGCCGAAGTACCTGCAGAAAGGTGCAGAGACTCCAAATTCACAGCCAAGTACACCAACAGCATCACGACCCACGTCACCAGTGGAGTCTGAGGAGAGCAGAAGGAGTACACGCTCCACGAGGAAATCAACATCAGCGGTGACACGAGGTGGTAAATCGAGAAAGGGTGGACACTCCAGTGCGTATCAACGAAGAGGTTACAACGCAAATGTTGATCTTCGAGACTCGGAGTATCACTACGGGTCGGACTTTGGTGACGAGTCGAGTGAAAAAAGTGAAGTTGACGATGATCCCCTCCTGCAGTCAGACCAGGAGAGTTCAGAGTCGGTCGGTGAGCCGGAGCCATCAAGCGACAGTGATTTCTCCCTCTCGAGTTTCAGCAATGGAACACCCAGGAAGAGTCTTCTTTCCTCGCAGAGGGCACCAAGTCCTGAGCCCCTGTGGCTCCAGAATCGTGAGCTGCCACCCCTGGAGCTCCCCAAGTCCTCCGAGGATCTTCTCATCTCGAAGGAGCACGTGATGCAGGCCCTCTCCATTTACGAGGTACTCAGGCATTTCAGGACACTCGTCAGACTGTCCTCTTTCAGGTTCGAGGATTTCTGCGCTGCCCTCACCTGCGAGGACCAGACCAATCTCCTAGCTGAGATTCATATTATGCTGATTAAGGCCTTGCTCAGGGAAGAGGACTCCCAGCAGACGCATTTTGGTCCTCTTGATCAGAAAGACTCTGTCAATGTCTCTCTGTATTTCGTCGATCCCATGACCTGGGGGGAGACACTCAGATCCTACGTCGAGAGTGACAAGAATTTCGATCAATCAATCCTGAATATTCTATCCACAACAGAGTATCCGTTCAGTGGAATTGATAATCGTCTGAAGGTCCTCCAGTTTCTCACTGATCAATTTCTCATAACCAATCCTGTCAGGGAGGATCTTCTCCACGAGGGTAACATGCATTACGATGATCACTGCCGGGTATGCCACCGACTTGGTGATCTTCTCTGCTGTGAGACCTGTCCAGCTGTTTTTCATCTGGAGTGTGTGGAGCCACCACTCGTCGATGTACCCACCGAGGACTGGCAGTGCAGCATCTGCAAGGCACACAAGGTCACTGGTGTCGTTGATTGTGTACCAGATGTGGAGAAAAATGGATTGCTGTGTAGACAGGAACACCTGGGATTCGACAGACACGGCAGAAAGTACTGGTTCCTGGCTAGAAGATTATTCGTGGAGAGTGAGGATGGCGATGTCTGGTACTACAGTTCACCCCTGCAATTCGAGGAACTCGTCAATTCCCTGGATAAGGATGAGTTCGAGGTGGCACTCTGCAGGGAGTTGTCTGATTACAAAGACGAGATCGTCAGGCAGATGGAACTCACTGAGAGCATAACTAATCAGATAAAAGGCAACAAGAAATCTTATCTTGAAATGGAGAATGCTCAGATCGTCAGGATGCAGAAGGAGAGGTCAGAGAAGAAGGAGGAGAGCCCTGAGGAGGATAAGAAGGAGGACGAGAAGATGGAGGTGAGTGATGATCACGAGAACCTGGAGAAAAAATCTAATTCACCATCCGAGGCTGGTGATGAGGATGAAGAGGAGAAGGGCAAGGATGGCAAGAAGCCATCGACGATGGTAACGAGATCCAAGACTGGTTCGTTAACACCCAGAACATTCAGCATGGACGACGTCAAGAAGAAGAATAATGACACGGAGAAGATGGATAAGATACTCAAGGACGAGAGATCTGACAATACCAGATTGACCAGGCAAAAGGCTCATCAGATTGCCACTGGCACTCATTTATTTAAACTAGGCATGGACAACAATTTTAAATCCTATGTCAATCAGTACAGCACCAACACGATAGCCTTGAATAAATCCCAGAGGAATGAGGAGCGTGACAAAAAGCGTCACCTGTCACACAAATTTTCATTGACACAGGCATCTGAATTCAAGTGGGTGGGCAGTTTGACTGGTGCCAGGGCACTCCTCGTCAGCACCATGAGGCAGACTATTCTCCAGCTGGAGAGCAATATACAGTCACCATTTATGCATCCAAACTGGCATCTCCTGAAGAAACCCTGGATAACAGCAGTTGGTGTTTGTGTGAGTCCCAGGGATTTTGCCAGGGCACTGATTGTCCTGCAGGCGTGCATCAAGTCATGTGTCTTTGCTAATGTATGGCACGATCAGCTGGGGCACGTCAAGCTCCAGAGAGTGACTGCTGTTGAGAGGGAGGAGAAGAAGAGGCTTGATAAGAAGGAGAAAAAGGAGAAGGAGGACGAGGAGGAGAGGAACAGATTGACCTTCAATTTTGTCAAGTACTCGTTGGGGCTTAAGCATCAGGTGTGGAAGCAAAAGGGCGAGGAGTACAGGGTGCACGGACAGTGGGGATGGCTGTGGATATCAGCGAGCAGGAGATACAAGGGAGAGAGCAAGTGCCTGAAATTAATACCCCAGAAAATAATGGTGCAGATCAGGGATCAAGGGGGGATTAAAATTTTAGCACTTGATCCACCGACTTATGAGTTCCTGATTCAGGAGTACTGCGACAAGAAGGAGATCAAAGAGATTAAGGAGATCAAGGAGGAGGTGCCCGAGGTGAAGGAAGAGGTTGAGGCTGAGGTGAAGGAGGAGAAGTCAGACGAATCGAAAGACAAACCTGAAAAGATGAATTTGTCGTTCCTAGCTGGAATGAAAATCGAAAAGGTATTTACTCCAATCGAAAAATTCGAGGAGATTGACGTGATGAAAGCCCTGACAACGCCAGGACGTCTTCACTACCCCAAGATAGCCAAGAAAACGAAGATCGATGATTTTTTGGCGAGAAGAACGCACCTGAAGATTCTTGAGGAGCGAAGACTGTCCCAGAGTGAGAAAAAAGAGATAAAAAAAGAGGAGAATGAATTGGATGAGGATGATAACGAGGACAGCACCACCACGGACAACTCAATCCTCAGTATAATCTCAGGAAAGATTCCGAATAAAACTCTGTCGCCATCGGTGCGTGAGATGCTTGTGGTCGTCAGCAAGAGGATCCAACAGGTGAGGGTGCAGTACGCAGCTGTCGTGAGACTTGGAAAGAATAATCACTGCTACTCGAGGTACTGCAACATGACAGGACAATCCCCGAAGGCGCCCATCACACCTCAGAGTCTAACGAGCACATGCTACTCCCCAATTTGCCTGCAGAAAGCTCGACTAAAACGAGATCTTGTGAATCTCCTGAGAAAAGCCAATGCCTTGAATAACAATCAGGTGACACCACCACCACCGAAAAAACCTGAGGAGAGTACGGACGCCATCAGGAGGGATCTGGAGTCAGCTGTGGCGCTTGCTACTCATTGCTCTGAGGAAGTTCCAGCGACGAATGTCGATCCAGAGTCACCGAGGGCTAAAAAAATTAAGATCGAGACTGAGGGAGAGGCTGGAGAGGCTGGAGATGCTGGACAGCTTGATGTTGAGAAGATTGAGAATTCTGGGGATGTTAAGCCCAGTACAACAACAACAATTGTTAATAAACGAGGGAGAACTGTTCAGAGGTGTACGATGGCCAAGGAGATGACAGCTGATGGCACTGAGAGAATTTACTCGACTGGTAATCCTGAGGGGAAGGTGTACCTGAAGAAAGTGGCGATTTCTCTGGCTGAGAGGAGGAAGAAGAGAGTGCCAGTGAAGTATCCACTGTGCTCTACATTCAGCACGAAAAATAATAAGAGGAGTATTCTCCTGCTGCCTCAGCACGAGCTCAGAAAATTGGCAAGGATGGGTGGTAAAGCACCTGTTGGTGGTTTTCATCAGATTGCCAAGGCGAATATGACAGTGTGGCCTTATCCATGCCCCAGGCCTCTCTTCAAGACCTGCTGGCTTTACAGAACGGTTGGCCTCAAGTCACTGGCTGCTGCTGCTGTTCAGTTGAGAATTCTCTGGGGGTGTCTCAGGTGGGACGATATGGTGGCTAAACCTGTGTCGTCCGATGGAAAACATCAGATCACCACTGACACTGAGATCATGTCACTGGAGATTCTTAAGCATCGACATGTTGGACAGTTTATGGATAGGACTCAGTATCTCAGGAGAAAAGTCGTTATTCCTCTGGAGTTGCCCAAGCAGATCAGGGAGGTGACTAGTATCAGAAGTGGATTGAGGAAGAGGAAGAGACCTGAGAGCCCCCAGAGCACTGAGCCACAGGTATCTGAGGAGTGGGTGGATGAGGATAAGCTGGAGCTCTGGGAGATCAAGCAGTACGGAGACAGGTGAGTCTATTTTTTTGAATCTTCATCGATTGCTGGGATCAGGGGCTTTATTCCATATATTTATTATTAACAATACCATTGAAATTTGCATTGCAATTATACAATCGTTTGAGCTTCAATCCCTCATTAACACCATGAAATACAGATTAACTAATCCCTTTGCTTTTTCGCTGTTTTTTCCTGTACCTTGATGTAGGTTGGAGAAGGCTAATGCACAGATTATTACTAGGAGCAGATCAGGTGTACCACAGACAGGTTCATTCGTCAACAGGGGATCGCTCTCCGGTGCTGGTGAGACACTGACTAGTAAAGCAACACCCGATGAGATCAAGGAGAAAATGGAGCAGCAGTTGAGGATACAGAGGGCTGCACACCAGCAGAAAAGAGTTCTGGAGACACTCAAGAGTCCAGCCAATGCTGGACAAATTGTCAAAGTCACGAGTAATTCTAATCAAGAGGGCACCGTGAAGATTGTCTCGAAGGTGGCAATTCCCCCGACACCCACGAACCTCCAGAAATCCCAGCTGACATCACTGCTGACAGCAACCCAGAATAAACCACCTCCAGGTGTTCGTCGAATATTCATGGTTAAATCAGCTGATGGTACAACGAGAATGATCGATGGTACGACGAAGGATATTCTCTGCAAGAGGCCCACCACACCGACAACACCCACATCTCAGTCCCTCATCAAACCCGCCCCCCAGACACCCCATCAGCCCCAAAGAGTTCAAATTCTTCGAGGTCCTGATGGCAAACTGCAGGTACGAGGTCTTATGCCGGGTCAGCAGCTGGTGCAGATGCCAGATGGAAAGCTTCATGTATTGAATACCACTCAGACTCCTGCCGCAAATGCTCCCACCACTCCTACACCCCAGAAAACCGTGACAACCATGATAAAAACACCAAATTTGAAAGCAACGCCAGTTAAATTGCCAGTATCGACGCCCCAACAGGTGACTCGTGTGAAGGGTACCGCATTGGCTGTTGTTTCGAATTTAGGTAGTGTTGTTACAACACCAAAAACCAGTACTCTGGTGATGGCCAGCCCCACCCAGTTGCCCCCATCAAATCAGGTGATTAATACGAATCAAATAATCGTCAATAATCCGAATTTGGTGCAACAATTAGCGAGTGGTAAGGCGCAGATAGCGACCATTGGTGGTCATCAGGTGATGATACGAACTACACCAACAGGCAATCAGATTGTCCAGCTGAATACATCGAGCTCTGGAATAATTCAAGTGAAAAATCCTAAAGTCATTACAACTGTGACAGCTCCAACAGCCACAACATCAGTAACAAGTGGAGCTCAAGCCCCAGCTACAACTGCAGTTGTGTCAACACCAGCTCCAGCAGTTGCTGCACCAGCACCGGTAGCCGATGAAACACCAGTTGCAGCGCCAGTTGCTGCAGCAGTTACTGCAGCATCACCATCGACTCCAGGGACTCAAGGAGCTGCAGGCACACCAGGAACTCCAGCAGTTGCCGCAACACCAGCAGCTGCTTCACCACCCCCAGCACCAGGAAGTGTCGAGGCATCTCTTTTAGCTGGACAGCCACCGGGAACGATAATAAAATGTGTGACGGCTCAATTGATTCAGACGAGTCAGGGGCCCAGGATTGTTCTCCAGGGTTTACAAGGGACGGAATTGACTCAAGCCCAGACGGCAATGGTCCAGCAGCAGATAAAGCAACAGCTGATGAAGGCACAGGCGACATCTGGTAAACAGGCTGTTCTTGGTCCCATGAAAATTTATCTGGCAATGCATCCAGTCTCTCAGCCATCACCAGCTACTCAAAAGCCACCGGCAGCAACACCAGGAGTTAAATCACAGCCAGTGACACCAGTTAAACCAGTTGCCGCCAAGGAGAACATTCCAGAGACCCCGAAGCAGCAGCAACCTGATAAACCAAAAGTCGTTGTGCAACAGGTGAAGGAGGAGGATCAAAAGAGTCCTCTCGCCAATGGGCAACAGCCCCAGGTACCCAAGGATCCTGGCCAAAATAAATTCATTCTCACCCCCGACTACATCCAGCAGACGATAAAAAATGCCCTCAAGCAGGAGAATCTCAATCCTGAAATCGAGGAGAAGCTGCTGCAGTTGCAGAGATATCAGGAGAAGCAGATGAAGGTCGAGCCGAATCAGACCCAGACACCAGCGACGCCAGTGTCACGTGCACCATCGAGAAAACGTCCAGCACCAGTGACACCGGTGATTCAGAAGGAATCACCAGTGATTGAGAAGGAGATAGATGCTAGGAAGAAAGTTGTCATCAAACAGGAGCCGAAGGATATCAAGGAGATGAGCCCCACCAAAGTGCCAAAGGTGGAGGACGAGGCATCCAGGAGATCAATAAAAATCAAAGAAACCCAAGAGGCCAGGAGGCAGCAGCAGGTTCACTCCAGGATGCAGGTTCTCCTGTTCAGGCACAAGGAGCTGCTGAAGAAAGATATCCTGAAGAAGAGGGCACTCCTGGAGAAGGAGCTGCAGATTGACATACAGAAGGATCTCTCCGCTGAATTGACATCGAGGACAAAGGCTGAAAGGCACAAGCAGGACGAGGTTAAAGTTGGGGTTAAAAGGAAGGCTATTCAACCACCTGGACAGCTCAGCCCATCCAGCAAAGGGAACAAAGCCAAGAGGCACAGGTCATCTGGCAGTGGTGCAACTCCTCCTGGTGGACCGTCCGCTGGACGAGTCAAGAAGCAAAAATTATACTGCCTATGCAGAACACCCTACGATGAAACTAAATTCTATGTGGGATGCGATCTGTGTAATAATTGGTTTCATGGAGAGTGCGTGGGCATCACCGAGGAGATGAGCAAAAGCCTGTCAGAATTTGTTTGCACTGAATGCAGACATGCCAGGGACACCCAGGAGCTTTACTGCCTGTGCAAACAGCCTTACGATGAATCTCAATTTTATATCTGCTGTGACAAGTGTCAGGACTGGTTCCATGGCAGGTGCGTTGGCATTCTCCAATCTGAGGCTGATAATATCGACGAGTACGTGTGTCCCAATTGCCAGAGGAATTCATCAGTAAATTTTGCTAATATGAAAAATCTCAGCGCCAAGGATTTGGATTTACTGAAAAAGCTTATTAAACATATCCAGGTGAGGAGCAATTTTTATTTTTCAATTGAAAGAGAAAATTATTCCAGAGAATTTTATTAATGAGTGGAATATGTGATTGTTTTAGGCTCACAAAAGCGCGTGGCCCTTCATGGAGCCTGTGGACCCCAACGAAGCCCCAGATTATTATAAAGTTATTAAGGAGCCCATGGGTAAGAGTTAATTAATGATTGTAAATAAAATATATTCCTGAGTGTATCCCTTGTTGCAGATCTCCAGACGATCGAGCTCCGGATAAACGACCGTTCCTACAAAAAACTCTCCGAGTTCATCGGCGACATGACGAAGATCTTCGACAATTGTCGCTATTACAACCCCAAGGAGTCACCGTTTTTCAAGTGCGCCGAATCCTTAGAAACTTACTTCGTCCACAAGATTAAGAGTCTTAGGGAGAAGTTTTCCGAGAACAAATGATTCAGCCACTAGTGAAACCGAACTCAGTGTTTATCATTTTCCATTTTTTAATTTATTAAAGGACTAAATAAAAAATAAATATCGAGTCGAACGAAAGAGAAAGAATGATAAATATCCTCTGGCCTCTGAGTTCAAATCCTCGAACATTAAAATTTTCTTTTTTTTTAAACTGTAATAACGCGTGAAGAGTTTACACTAATAGTTGATTAAGAATTAATTAGGTATACGCATAATAAATTGTACAAATTTGTTTATTATGCTTGATGTAATGACTTAAGTTGTTTTAATCACTAAATTTTTCTATGAACTTGTTTATAAAACGAAAAAATACGATGTTAGTCTGTAGGATTGAAGCAGAGCGTCAAAATATGGGGGAAAAATCACAATTTGCATTGTAAATACTCAAGATAAATGAAGTTTCTCCATCGAAGAACAATTTTATGACAATTCGATAAACGAAGATCGTCTGATTCTCATGAATTCCACTGGACATGATCATTCATTAATTTTTCGTTGCCTTACATTATTATTATTATTATTTTAATTAAACTGCTAACGAGAGAACACAGATGTAAATTTTTATGCCAGGGTAAACAAAAGTTGATGATTGTACAGTATTTTTAATTCAAATTGCTCGATGTGACTCGATGAGGATTGGAGTTATTAATGGAGAAATTATTCAGGTGAAAATTTAGGTTTAATTAGTGATTAATTATTTTTCACAGTTGAAGGTTTACATTGTAATTACGAGTGTAAGCACTATTTTCTGCTCTTTATTTTTATTGGTAATAAAGGAATTGTAGCTTTCATTGCGAGTCACGAGTTGAATTTATCACGATTAGAAATTAAGGTAATTAGTAATTAGGGACTAGGGGGAGTGGTCGTGGCTTTTTATTTTGTCAAGAAAACGTCGGAGGTCAATCATGTATTTCGATTTCGAGGGCGCAGAATAAAGAGATTAAATCATTAATTATTTCTTCATTAGTAATGGTTAATTAAATTTATGGGAAATTATTTAGAGACAGTGATTCCATTATCATTGAAATTCCTACATTCACCGTAAAAAAAAAAATACACTGGACTTTGAAATTCCTAGGACGAATTTCGTCGATATAATATTTTCACCCTGTAGTCCCCTCCGTATAATTTCGAGTGATTGATGATGGTATCCCGAGTATGCGCAGTGCTATTATCCCCAGAGGACCGGTTTTGTATCTCATAATCTAGAATAGTCGTCCTCCAGCTCTCGAGACTCCAACACGCGTCGATTCGAAATAATTCGAAAGAAAATCCGAGAGAGAAATTCGTCGAACTTCCACTTGAGTTTTCCACTGGTCCTCCAGGATGCTGACGAGGAGTTCGAGGCTCTGCCGAGGGTTTTTCCAAGGTACGTGCACCTGGAGCCCTCGCCCCTATTAACCGATAGAAATCCTTATCTTATCTATTACTCAATTGATAGTGATAACACTCAGTTGGGAGTAATACAAGTTCATTGGATCCACGGGCTGAAGGCCAATTACGTTTAAGTGATTGTAATCAGAGATAACCGATGGGGGGAGCATTATCACCATTACAATCTGGCATTTCTCATTTTATTGATATTTTTATTTATTAAACATTTATTAAACTAATGGGAAATTCAGGGATTTATATTTCGAATTACGAATTTTTATTTTCATTCCCATGAGTTTTCCTTAGGAATGAATTAATAAAATAAAATGATTTCTACAAAATAATATATTATTAATAAAAAAATCAAAGGTAAGAGTCAATGGAGATTTTTAACGACCGCGGAACCGTCGGCACCTTCTGTGAGAACGGAAATCCCAGGCCCCAGGTCCCGAGAACTTCTCCAGGAGCTGAACAAATATCAGGTGAGATGCCCCCAATTCCTCCGATAAACAAAATGAATAAACAATAAAAACAATAAAATATTCACTGACAGCAAGCGGCAACAGTTCAATTATTCGCGGACTACGACAAATCCTCCGGTAATTACCTAGTGGACGTCGACGGGAATACATTATTAGACGTCTACATGCAGATATCATCGATGCCCCTAGGATACAACCACCCGGCGATGCTGGAGGCCCTGTCGAATCCCCACAATCAGCGATCAATCATCAACAGACCAGCCCTCGGGGTTTTCCCAGGTGGTGATTGGCCGGAGAAGCTGAAGAGTATTTTACTGAGACCTGGAGTTGTTCCACCAGGTCTCACTCACATCACCACGATGATGTGTGGCTCATGCTCGAATGAGAATGCATTTAAAAATATATTCATGTGGTATGCCAACAAGAGGAGACATGGACAGCCATTCACTCAAGAGGAAATGGAGACGTGCATGATCAATCAGAGTCCAGGATCCCCCAGCTACTCCATCATGTCTTTCAAAGGTTTCACTGCAAATGAAATTCAATTCACTCAATTTCCTTTTAATTTCCTTCATTTCCTTTTATTTTCCACAATTGATACCCCAGAAACTTGAATTAAAATTCAATTCAATTGATTTCCTCTGGCGATGATGTCTCCAAAAGAATTGCAACGATAAATAAATAAACGAGGAGTAGATAATGAAGAATGGATTCGAATAATTCCAGGTGCGTTCCATGGAAGAACCCTGGGATCCCTCTCGGTGACCCACAGCAAATACATCCACAAGATCGACGTTCCGGCCTTCGACTGGCCGATAGCATCATTCCCCCAGTACAAGTATCCCCTGGAGGAAAACCAGAGGGAGAACAGAGCAGAGGATGAGAGGTGCCTGGCAGAGATCGAGGAGCTGATGGTGAAGTACGACAGGGAGAGGAATAATCCAGTGGCTGGAGTCATCATCGAGCCCATCCAGGCAGAGGGAGGGGACAACCATGGATCCCCCTATTTTTTCCAGAAGCTTCGACAAGTCACGAGGAAGGTACATCCCCCTCATCTTCAGGGTGATATAATTCGTCATGAGCTCCAGGAGAAATAAATTTATTTATCGATTGGAATTAATTACAGCATGGAGCTGCCCTTCTGGTTGACGAAGTCCAGACTGGTGGAGGGCCAACCGGAAAAATGTGGTGTCACGAGCACTTCAACATGGATTCCCCCCCGGACATCGTGACCTTCAGCAAGAAAATGCAGTTGGGAGGATATTTCCACTCTGCTGAGCTCAAGTACACGACCAATTCGATTTTTAATTCATTTTTATCAGAAGGATAATTGATACATCACTCGTTTATTGCAGGCCCAACGTCGGCTACAGGGTCTTCAACACCTGGATGGGAGACCCGAGTAAACTCATTCTCCTGGAGGCAATACTGAATGTCATCCAGAAGGATAATCTTCTGGAGAAGGTCTCGAAGGTCGGGGAGTACACGCTGGAGGGTCTGAAGGCCATCGAGAAGGAGCACTCGACTCTCATCAATTCTTCCAGGGGACGAGGGACTTTTATTGCCTTCGACGGTGCGACTGTCGAGCTCAGGGACAAAATTGTGAAGAATCTCCTGAGAAAAGGTGAATAAATTTCCCAATTATATCCCGGGAAATTCATCAGATTAATTTGATGATAATTAATTATGGGATTATTAATTTCATCTTGCATCACCAGGTGTTCAAGCTGGTGGATGTGGTGCCAGAGCTGTTCGACTTCGTCCAGCCCTGACGTTCTCCCATCACCACGCCGACGTATTTTTAGACGCTCTACGTTCAGTCCTCAAGGAATAAAAAAAATAAATCCAAACGAACGTCACAGTCAAGTCTTCCAGCAATTACTGATATTTTTGTACATCATCCCCAGGGAATGAACCTCAAAAAATTACTTTAAAAATCCCCACGTGAATTTATTTGGAGAGCTCAACGCTCCGCTCACAAATATAAATATACAATCCAAAGAAACTCATTGGCTGATTCTCTTCAGGATTTCCCCGAAGTGGTGAAACTCCTGTGCCCTCTTTTTCCTCATCATGTACTCGACCGTTCTCATCCTGACCTTGGGCTCACCTCCACCCTGTTTCAGGGACATCTTCCAGAGGCTGACAGCAAGATTGGCAACAGCTGGATGCGTGAGATCAGCCCTCATGACAATCCTGGCGAATACCTCCATCGCGAAATTCCCCTGTTTCTCACTGATTTCCGTTCCCCCCAGGTGCTTCAGGTGATCGATGATCTCCTCGAGGACTTTAGTGCAGATCTTATTGACTTCATTAATGAATTTCTCATCGCTCCCATACAATTTGTCATTAGAGTCGACCTTGTCGATGTGATATGGGTAATTTTCCCTGGTGACGGTGGCGAGGAGATCCAACACCCTGAGGTACACCTGGTACTTGAGACTGCTGTGCTCGTCGAAGCACCTCTGGACGACATTGAGGAGTCCCCTCATGAGATATAGTACCCCGTGTTCAGGACTGTCAGGTACCACCAGAAGAGTGGACAAAAAATTGGACAGGTACGACACGAGATAGGGCTCGGTGTTCCTGACACGTCCCTCGATGTCCACCGTCTTCTCCATCTCAGGAACGAGACTGAGGGCGGCCTTGAAGCACGCATCAGCCTGCCCCAGACACTGATTCACCAGTGCCACCTGCCCCGAGAGCAAATACAGCTGGAGTCTCACCTGGACTTGAGTCAATGATGGAATTGTTATGAAGCAGAATGCAGCGCACGCCCTCACGAATGCTGACGTTCTCCTGGTGTGGTGTCCTCTGACGATTCGACGGGTCTCGACGGCCTGTCTATTGACACACTGCACCAGCTGGACGTGCACTGGGTCCAGGTTGGGAAAGGCCGCTCTGGCCTCGGCGTAGAAATTCAACTGCTTCTCGAAATCCCTGCCGTAGTCCACCCTCTGCACCAGGAGACAAATTAAATTACCAATCTGTCTCTTCTCGTCGTCGACTGTCAAGGCTGATACCGAGTCATGCATTATTCTCGCTATGAACATCAAGGCGTTGATGATTATTGGATCGGTAATTGGTCCTGCGTTAGTCTGACTCGAGAATCTCTCGATTATTCCTTTGCACACCTCCACTTTTATCGGCTCCTTGTGGAAGAGATCCACCAGGGGAAGGAAATTCTCCATGGTCAGCAGTGACTCGAACTCCTGGGGACCGGATATTATCCTCTCGATTATACCCTGCAGCTGGGGATAGAAATGCTGGAACTCGCGATTATCCGAGAGGTGGGAAATTATTTCCCCCAGGTAATCGTTGATCTCCTTCGTCGTGAAGTGATGGACTACGAACTGAATCCACACCTCAGTGCAGTGCATGAATTTCACTGGGTCACCGAGGCTCGTTATGTACCTGGAGACGATGTCGTAGACTTCCTGGGTGCAGGCCTTGGATGGCGACGCCTGTACGAGGCACTCCCCGAGGGATCTGTACAGGATATACTGAGGATATCCATCATCCTTGCACTCCGAGATGAACCTGACGAACTCCGTGCACCTGGAGGCGACGTACTCCGGCTTAAACGCCCCCAGGACAGCATTAAAAAGCAATGCCCCATTGTCCTGCTGTTTGCACTTGGTGAGGACCTCCCCGAGAAAATCCTCCGATCTCGTCGTCCTCGTCATCACCTGGAGGATCCAGTCGAGGGCCGGTGTGTAAAGATTCAAGTACGAGAACTGGCAAATCCCCTGGCGACTCAACTCCATCTTCGTCGAGTGGCTGAACAGCTGGTGATACGTCAGTAAAAAATCGTAAAAATTCTCCTTGACGAAGTCGAGGTCCTTCTTCAGGGCAACACCCACTCGACATAGGTAACACCTGGCGTAGATCGCTATCAGGGGATTACCAATTCCCCGGATCATCCGGGTGATCCGGAGGAGAGCTGTTGTGAATTCACTGGTCGTCAGGAAACCGTACGATTTTATTATCGCCATCTCCACGTAGAGGCGAGGCACTAGCTCTCGGATCGAGGCTATCTTGTAGAACCAATTTCTGCAGGTCTCTTTGGCATTCTCGGGGACCATCTCCGGGGTGAAACCCTCAGGGAGACTCGTCGGCACTTTGCTACCTGGTTTGTAATAGTCTGCCTTTACCTTGAGCCTCTCGTAGACGAGTTTGCCGAAGATATCAAGGATGTCAGTGATGAGTACGAATTTACTGGGGTAAAAAGCCATGGCGGAGGTGTCCACCAGGAGTTTAGCACACTGAATAGCTATTTTAAGAGCTTTTACCCTCTGATCTGAATGCCATGCTTGGACAAGCTCGTTGTTCAGCTGCTCTGTCCTCAGGGCGTACTCCTGCTGGGAGAGATCCAGCATCTGCCTCACGGAACCCTCTTCGAAGTCGTCCAGCTGCTCCAGGCGAGTCTTCACTTTATCCAATTGAGTGTTCGCCTGGACTTTGACAATTTTCTCACCTCCAGAGAGGAACGACGTGACGATCGAGAGTTTCTCCGACGTCGTGTACTTCGTCAGGATTGATGACCTCCAGGTACTCCACGGCTCCAGGAGGTGATCCTCATTTTTTTTTCCCGGATTAACGAGTGTTGGGGAGTAGTCCCACTCGTCGGCAGCCATTCGTGAGAGTGGATCGAGCTCCTCCTTGGAGAACTGGGTGAGGGGGTCAGTGCCGTCGAGGGAGGGGTTCGACAGGGGATCCATCAGGGAGAGGGGTGTATGGGTAGGGGTGGGAGTGCCTGTCGAGGAGGTGGTGCTGGTGCTGCGAAGAGGACCTCGACGCAGACGTCCCGAGTCCGTCAAAATCGTCGACGGCTTCAGGGGATGGTCCGACACCTCCTCCAGGAGGAGGCGACGACTTGGGGACCAGCCTTGGGGGGATGATATCCTGGCGTGATTAAACAGATTGATTTGATTATAATTTATTTATTTTATTCCCTTCTCGGGATTATTTACTTCGAGAGGACGTGGAGGACTCACCAGATGATCTCCATCGGATTCCCTGTTTCCCCCAGGGCTTTCAGAGATTTAACATCTTCTGGTTCAATTTATTAACCAATTTATTAAACAATTTATTAAA